GAACATGCACTTGACAGCCTACAGTTTGCCTACAAAGAACATATTGGAGTGGATGATGCCATCCTTTACATGCTCCACTGGGCCCATTCTTACTTGAATGAGCCAGGTGGTTACATGAGGATTATGTTCTTTGATTTTTCAAGTGCATTTAACACCATCCAACCCCCCATCCTTAAAGACAAGCTGGAAGGGATGGGGGTGGATCCCTGCTTCATGTCCTGGATTGTGGATTACCTCACAAGACGACCATAAAACGTCAGGATGGGTAACTGTGTCTCAGGGACAGTGATGAGCAGCACTGGGGCTCCACAGGGGACCGTTCTGGCTCTGTTCCTGTTCACCCCGTATACAGCAGACTTTAAATATAACTATGAGTCCTGCCACATCCAGAAATACTCAGATGACACAGCTATTGCGGTGCATATCAGGAATGGGCAGGAAGAGAAGTACAGGGATCTGATGATGGCCTTCAGTGAATGGAGTGACAAGAACAGCCTCCTTCTGAACACCTGTAAGACCAAGGAGATAGTCATCAACTTTCGGAAGTCTAGGCCCACCCTTCAGCCAGTCAACATTCGAGGGAAGGACATTGAGGTGGTGGACACTTATAAATACCTAGGTGTGCACCTGGACAGTAAACTGGACTGGTCCCTGAACACGGCTGCCATCTACCTGAAGGGGCAGAGCTGGCTCTTTTTAATAGGGTGAAGCAACCAAAACACCCTATGACAGTGAGGTACACAGCTGATGATATGTCCCTAACATCCACTGGTGGTTGCTAACATCTGCTGGTAAATTTATCAGTCTAGATCTTAAGCTAAAGTACGCAGCATAAAGTGAACTTTGTAGTTGCTGACATTTGATGCAGCCATGCCAACAGTTTCCACCTGTTCCCAGCTAAAATAGGTTAAATATATCATAGATCTTTGTCTATACTGGATACACACGGATGCATACAGAGCTATACCTATTAAAGTCATACTTCTTGTACCTTAAATTGATGTGGTGTTAGTCTTCTACACACAAATACCTTTTTGAGTTTTAACTACAGAGAATAACAATCACATCACGGCTGCTTTAATCCTATTACCTTTAAAGAACATTCTGAGAACACAACTCTGTTTACCTGCTTCACTTGTAGAACATGGATACGAACAGTTTTAATGAACAGATTCAGCCCTGATATTTCAATCAGAAGCATTGATTACATAGTGAGTAAGTGTGGCATCATTTTTGTCTGTTCAACTGCAAACTAACCATAATAAACTGCAACTGCGAAGTTACTATCATTAAAAAAAATAAGACCGACAGCTGCAATGTGAAATGCAAAGAAATGTGATTTGCATCTAAAATCAAAACTTGTATGGTATGTCTTTTGGTTTGTGTTTCTTGTTTCTGGTTTGTGAGATACAGCTTTTCTTTTTGCTCTTTTCAGTTTGCCCTTTGTTTCTCTGTTTGTCTCTGCAAATTAGTTTCATTATGGTAAATTGACAATTGTTCCAGCTCTTTCTGCTGTTTTTCTGTTGCTCCCAAAAAGTTGAAATTAGTTAAAAGGTTATTTTCACTGCGACTTTTCATCACTGATTTATGCAACCTCATTGCTAACTGTAGAAAACCTCCTGGATAGAAAGTTAAGACCTCTAAAGTATGCAGAAGCAATTGTAGGTTCTCAGGGGCCCTGGACACACATGCAGACTATTGGCAGAAGCTACAATTTGCAGATGTCCATCAAGGGCCCCTTTTCCCTGTGAGGGCCCCAAACATTTGCCTGGTTTGCCTCTCCTCTCCACTGGCATTTATTGTGAGCTAGCTAGCCTGTTAACTAGTCTGTTAGCATGTTAGCTACATTGCTACAGTTCAACTGAATCAGTGTTTTAATGCTGTTTTGGAAAAGACCTCTGTGCACACTGAAATGATTCTTCAGTGGCTACATCTCTATGTGCTCTATGATGCTCTATTTTAATACACAAAGAGTTGCTCTCATTCAACTTGAATTATTTTTCTGTTTTTGTTGTAAGACAACTGAATGAGCACTAACAGTGACAGAAGCAAACAGATACCAAATCGACCATACACTTCATACCCCTGATAGACTAAAACCCATAATAATCCTGCAGTATGTAGCTCACACAGTGACTCAGCTTTCACGTGTAAGTTCGACTGTTAATTTCATTTTTAGTAATGCTGAATAAAACCCCTGACAGTGACAAAACAGCTGATTATGTATGAATCACAAAAACGTCAGAAGTTCTGTAGTTCCTGCGGCTCAATTGTGAAGATTTGCTGTTTTATATCACAGTAAATCGAGAATATATTTGGTGTTGGTCACTGTTGGTTGGACAAAACAAGAAATTGGAAGGTCTCACCTTTGGCTTTAGGAAATTGTGATGAGTATTTTAACCATTTTAGAACACTCAGTGGCCATTTCATCAGAAACAGCTGTACACCAGCTTCATGCAAATATGTTATTATCTGCCCATCTGAAACTGGAAAGTGAAACTGCTGATTTTCACACACAACAGTCTCAGACGTTTTTACTCCGAATGGAGCAACAACAAAAGCGTCCAGTGAGCAGCAGCTCTTTGTTGATGAGAGAATGGACAGACTGGTTGGAGCTGACAGAAAGGCTACAGTCACTCAGATAACCACTCTTTACAACTGCACTGAGCACAAAAGCTTCAGAGTGACCAGTAGAACAGTAGAAGACCACGTCAGATTTCACTTCCTGTCACCAAGAACACTGAAGCTGCAGTGGACACAGACTCACAAACACTGGACAGCTAAAGACCAGGTCTGATGGATCTGGATTAGGGCTGAACCATTTGGGATAATAATCTAATTATGTTTTTTTTTTTTTACCAATATTGAGGATGCAATTTAATATGCAATTATTGTAAGTTCCTTATCTTCTGTATTATTTAACAAACACAAGCTATAAATCATTTTATATTATGACTAACACAATATTAGGTAGATTAAACATAAACTGTTCTATTCTGTAGGCCAGACTTATATGTTATTATGAAATTGATATGAATTGATATGATATGAATGACATATGTTTATTTAACTACTTTAGTTTAACTTACAGCCTTGTAAGCATGTAATAATTATCATTACAACATAACAAAGCCCTGCCAAATAAGGCTGGTGTAAACATTAATATGAAGGTCAGAAACAAATCACACAAACTAAAGTGCAGATTGCAGAAATATAAAAACAACACATCTGAGGCTTTACCACTCTGTATTTTGATAATTCAAACTAAGTCACTGTAATAAACATGTGAAATGTAATGTGGATTGCACTTTTACATACCGTCTGTGAACTTTACTAGACAGTCTTTAAATAAATAAATAACAATATAAAAATATATATAGTGTATCTTACTGATCTCCAGTAATTAACATATCACATAAAATGAAGTGAAGAAAAATAATGGATAACAAATATGTGCCTCTACCATTTTGAAAATATTTAGGTAAATCAAAGTCGTAATAAAGGGTAACATAAACATGTGGATTGTAATTTTTGTTAAATCTTAAAAGAAAAAGAAACACTGTCTGCAAATTAATATAAATATTAATCTTAATTATCTCCAGTCATTAATAGCAACACACCACACAGACTAAAGTGCACAATGAGTATGGCACTGCCAGCCATAATGATCAGTAGGATCATAATGAAATGCACCATAAGACTCTGATAGCACTCTGCTGTACAGCTTGTATGGCAACCTGGCAAAAATATTTGCAGAAGAGCATGCTGTACCGCTTATCCAGTGTAATAATCAAAGCCATAAACCCAGGCTTGGTCTTTCCCTATGAAGTCTGTTATTGCATGAGTAATTTTCCCGTGCTGTTTTGAACTTGGTTCATATGGAGGTATGCTTTCAAACATTTCCATCAGTGATCCTTGTCGGGTGGTATTTGGCTTACTTGACACACTGTTGGTCAGCATTTTAGCCATGCAACTATTGTACATGGCTTTGTGGTGTTTTTTAAGTGTTGATACAGGTTAGTAGTGTTGCCCTGTGAGGTAGCAACGGTAGCAAGGCAGGTTCTGCACAATACCTGACGCTGTGCAGCATCTTCTTTTTTAAAGCCGAAATAGTTCGACACAACCGACGTATTGCTCCTCTTTGACACCTAAGTTTCCACAGTGCCAGCTTCTGTCGATCCTGAGGCCATTGTACAACAGGTCAAAGTGTAGTGTGCCAAGTTGTTGCTCCCTCTTTTAGCCGACTGCTCTACTCTCACTTGCATGTCACGTGACCAGAGTGTAATCGCAGCCTTTGCAGTTAGAAAATCTTGTTTTATCTTATTGTGATTTTATCGTAAATTCTATTAATCGTTCAGGATTTGTGCTGAGGCAGCAGATGGTATGGTTAGTGTCTGAATCCATGGACCCAACCTGCCTTGTGACAAAGGTTCAGACTGCTGCTGCTGGTGGTGTAATAGTGTGAAGAGTGTTTTCTTAAGGAGCCTTATGTGTTAGATAGATATACAAACCAAGTGCCATTTGAATACTAGTCTATCTGATTATTGTTGCTGATCATCCCTTCATGGCCACAGTTGACCATCTTCTAATGGCTACTTCCAGAAGGATAATGCTCCATGTCACAAACTGGTTTCATCAACATGGTGGTGAGCTTGGTGAACTTTAATGGTCTCCACAGTCCCCAGGTCTGAGTTCAGTAGAACACCTTTGGGATCTGGCTGAATGAACGTGCAGCATCAGTGTGTTTAGCCATAGCTGTCCCCAATGAAGTGACTGAAGTGAGTGTGTACTAGAGCTGTATGACAACTGGGACTACTCCTTGTCCTACTAACTACTCTGAATCTGAGTTTACAAAAAATTAACATCTAGGTAACGTGATGTACCGTAATGTGCTCCTATGGTGCAATCGTGTATTAATCTGTGTTGTACTTGTATCTTGTAATGTATTTAACATTACTTTACACCCCACGAACTCCCCCCCACCACCCTTCCCCACTCACCTGTGTCCCTCTCGACACTACACGACTCCCGGGCGACAGAATACGACATCCGTCTGCTGCTTGGGGCCCTTTCGTTATCTGGGCCCGAACGGGAGCCATAATCCCCGGGGGCTCCGTTGACACTCCCAGTCAGCAGACTCTCCGTTTCCATCCAGGAAATCTACAGTCGGTCCTGTACCGCTCCTCAGCGGTGCGAGCAGTAGAGACGGTGTTGTGCCGGAGCTGAGCCGGAGTTCAGTCCAGTTCAGTCACTGACGATACAAACTTCAAAAGTTCTCAAACAACAAGTGCACTTGTAGGTTGCTGACTGGTTTTAGGAAGTCGCCCCTCTGCTTTGCTCCTCCCTCCCTCCTTTGGTATCACTTTACACTGACTTAAAAAACGGACTCCTCCCACAGCACACAGCACATGCTGCAGGTTACAGTCACTTATTGTCAGAGACAGAGTGAGGACAAGGTCTCTGAGGACAAATAGTGAGCCCACATGTATCTGTACTGTTAAGCCTCATATCTCATTAGTTACCGAGCTTTCTTTGTTTTCTCCATCATTCATAATTTGTACCTGCTGCTTCATCACATATTTACTAGCAAGGAACCATTGTCAGCATCTTTATTTATCAGTAACTTACATTTATAACTTGTAAAAGGAGCCTTATTATAAAGGGTAAAACACATAATCATTTATTAATAAGTTTCTATAAGGCTCATTTTACCAGTTATAAAGAGTATAGTAAAACAATAGTAAGATTAATAATTAGAATGCATTAACTTGATCTTGCCCAATAGTGAGTCTGCATCAATGTATGAAAACTTTTATAAGTCGTTTATAATTGTTTGATGATTTATAAAGTGTTAACTGAATTAATAACCAAATTGTAAACCATTTATAAATCCTTTATAAGGGTAGTTTTTATTGTAAAATGGTACAGCGTGTATTCTCATGTGACTCTAATGTAAAGGATGCCGATTGGACCAAAACGTCTAGTCTGGAGTCCAGATTAAAGTGACAGTCAGGGTTATTAGACATGGGGTTCGTTGAGGAACTCATCTATAGTCAGTGTGTTATCTGCATTCAGATCAGTACACTCTCAGCAGAAGCAGACACTGAGGATGAGCTGCTGTGGACTGCGTCATCTCATAACCAGCATTTTAGAAGTTGTATCTCTTCTGAAATGACTCATCAAGTCCATGGTGAAGAGTGTAAATCCATTGAGATGAAGTTTTAATCACCTTAAGACACAGACTGCTGGACATTCACATATACGATATATAAGGACCAGCCCTATATTATATTCATATTAATGCACCAAGGTGCAATAATTTGCATCAATTAACTTTTGTTTTAAGATTGACCTGGAAAACTGTGAAACTATCTTTAACCTCATAATGAATGAAATGTTGTGCTGCTACTTTCAAAATCTTTTCACCTCTTCTCTCTTTCCATTCACATATTTTAATATGATACAGAAACAATCAGATTATTTGTAACAGAAATCTGTGTTTTTTCAGCACTGTGGCAATAATGTTGGTTTGTCAGTGCACTACTTTGGTCCTGATGGAAATATCTCATTGACTAATGGATGGATTACTAATTGACATTCTGTTCATGGTCTCCAGAGGATGAACCCTACTGACCACCATCTCAGTGAAGTTTTACATCTCCTCTCTCAGGCTTCATTCTGGAACTCTAGTAACAACAGATCAGTGACTGTTTTTTGAGTGATCCAATTAATTTTTTTTTTAATTTCAGGTAATCATTCAGAGAAACCAAAACCAATCCTATACAACTACACACATTTAACTACACAACTACATAAATTTAACTTTAACCCCAAATATTTTTCCATTTGTTAAAAGACATTAATGTAAATAGCATTTTTTGTAGCTATACTACAGTCCATGTTTTGATAGACTCATGTTTCTATAACAAATGTACAAACTGAATTTTATATTTATGTAATATTTATTCAAAATACATTTTCATGATTATGCTAAAGCAAATCAAAAGACGTTCAGGTGTTTTTTCTTGAAGATTTGCAGATAAAAACACAAATACATGGAAAAGACTAAAGTAACTGTAAATATTGTATCATAACTATCAAGCAAATGAATTAAAGTTTTTCTGATGTTATAATAGATCACATACAGAATAAATAAGCCATTGACTCTAGCAGCAGTGGCTTCAGTCACATTGGCAACATCAGGTCAGACTTTCAAATAGATTTGATTGAAAATATTGATTTAAGTTAGTATTGATCTCATATCAGGTTACTTTCATTTCCTGTGCGTTGATTACTTTTGTTGCATGTTTGTAGACAAATGGCTGCAGGACTGTGTTTCACACTTTGCTTTTCTTTTTTTTTTTTAAATCAAGTCTCAGCCCCCTGGTTCCCAGTACAGAGTATTTGGCTTTACAGTGAGCGGTACAAACTAAATGATCTGAATGTTCTGATGGATTTTAACTGGACTCTGAAAACCTCAGGTGTTATTGCTTTGTGGTGTTCGCTGTCATCTGGGACACCTGTGGAACAGAAGAAGAAGAAATGGAAACAGCTTTTTTAAGATGTTTGTTCATTTGTCTTGTTCCTTTGTCAAACCTCCTCTAGTAACATGAGAATGAGAAGAAGTCCCTAAAGTCTACCTGGGTGTCGATGCACCTGAACTGCCAGGTCCAGTGTGTGTTGTAGAGGAAAGGTCGTAGGTCAAAGCGGTTGTCATCAGGACTGTAGCTCTCAGCATGGTAAGACGGCGTCACTGTGGTCATCTTGTGGCGGTTCACTGAGTACATCCAGAAGAAGTGCTTCACCTTCTGAGCCACCTGAAGAAGATTTTATTTTTATTTTATTACTGAATATTTTTAGATTAAAGATCTTGGCAGCCACTGATAAATGCACAATATTGATGACTAATAATAATAAAAAATAATTCAATATTCTGTACACTGTTTCTACTTCCAGGAAAACTGTATGTTCTTTAATGGTGAACCCATGCTGTAACTGTGGCATACAGAGCCAACCCAGAGTGGGTTGATATACCTACATTATTATTGTTACTTACATGTTTAACATAATTTCCATTTAGTACAGCTCATGTTCAGAGTGTGGTGAAAATTGTCTGTGTGTTTTATGATAAGGAAAGGTTGGTTTATTGTTTGAAAAATGTAGTGTTATCTAGCAGTATGCAGTGTCTAACTCCAACCAGCAGCACTAGCGCGTTCGCTACACTGTGTGTTCAGGGACAAGGGAAGTCTCACGTGAACACATTCAGAGAACAAGAACACACACTTGAGTGTGAAGTTACTGTGTGTGTGTGGCGAACGGTGATGATAAAATACATATGTTTGCTCTTTGCAGGTAAGAAGGGAGAGTTAGAATTGTGTAATTGATGAGTGAATATGTTGTGTCGTAGTTTATGGTCCCGGTTGCGTTGTATGTGGGATTGTTTATGAACGTTACTTGGTCAGCGAACGTAATGCACTGAAAATGGCTAGCCAGTAGTTAGCACTGGTTGCTTAGTTACCTCGAGCGAGCAGGAGGCTGGAGAGTAGAACTACGAGCCGGTCTAAAGAGCCCGAACTGCTCGTGTCTAATTCATAAATAAATAAATAAATAACTTAAAATAGATACATGATTGATTTGATTAATTGGACAATGTTTGGTAGACATGATTGGCTGACTGTGTATTTCAGAAACAAGTTGATATTGAATGTACATGATGAAAATGGTCTGGAATAGCGATACAACAGACATGATTTATTGTTTGGATGTTAGTGCAGATGTTCATAATTTTTCTGTGTTCGAATATTGAACACGTTCAGAGAACGAGAACACACACTTGAGTGTGAAGTTACTGTGTGTGTGTGGTGAACGGTGATGATAAAATACATATGTTTGCTCTTTGCAGAACAAAATAAAAGACTTTCAAATTAAATGTGTAGTGGAGGGCGGCTTCACTCTGCACCACGCTACATAATCAGGGAAAATAAACATTTGAAGAATGATTAATGTTTTACAGATTTATCGAAAATCTCCTCTTTCTTTAATGTGGCTGAGTTTAAGATTAACTTCCTCTGATGGAGGGTTAAACTCTGACAAATCAGAGGACAGAATGTCCCACATTGTGAAGGAGCTGACTGACCTCTGTAGGTGAGAGCACGTCCTTCCACATGTGAATGAGTTTACAGAACATACTGAAGGGGCCACACTTGGAGATCTTCCTCAGCCGCCCAATCACTGATAACTCAGAGTAGGTCATCCCCATGTCTGCCTGAGGGGGGAGGAGAGGTGGTCAGAGAAGAACAGAGGCACTCTACAGACATGTCCTGTTACTTTCAACCTTATATTTGACACAACAATGCAACTTATAATGCAATGATTTTGATATTTGTGAAGAAATTTTGCCTTGTCCTAATGAATGACTGACTCAGGGTGAAAGGTCAGTGTGAGGCCCTAGGTTGCTGTGCCACAGCTCCTGCATTAAATGTTACAGGCTTGGAGACACTCAGGCGGCTCCTCCAGATGCAGCTGTGGTTTGCTGCTGATACTGCTGGTGCCACGATTGATAACAGAAGACCTTGGATGGTCAGTATTAGGATCAGGATCAGGATTATGGTTAATGAGCCAATAGTGTATTCACACATCCCTCTTCTTCCTCTTATTTTAGATATTTGACCAATTATGGAGGTAAGCTATCTATAGTAATCTCTCTATGTGTATAAAAACTCTCCTCAGGGTTTCCTGCTTCAGATTTGAGGTGACATCATGAACAGGGGACTGTATTGATGATTCCTCTTTTCTCCATGGCCAAGCTTCAATAAACATCGTCAGCATAACATCTTGGACTCCAGCGCTCTTTCTTCACCACAGATGATAAGAATTTTCCCTAACAACATTTTGTGTTAAAAAAAATGGAATGATGGAGGAAACTGGAGAAGGAGGAAAGGAATTGGAGTTATAAGATAATGTACCAATGAATTATGGGAACTGCGTATTATCCCATGTTGATTGGGTAATGGGGCTTTATCAGCTCTGAAGAAGTCATGGTGATTGGATCTGAACCTGACACTGGATGATGAGGAGTGGGAAATTCTTTTAGAGTAAGAATTAATGTGTTGAGTCCAATGTAAAGCACCATGCTGTGTATTGCGTTTCTCTTTTTTCTCTCAAAAGGTTCTGTAATATATAAATATAATGTTGTTCTTTTTAAAGAAAAATTCCCTTGCACTTAATTTAATTGTGGCTGTAGCCCTGTGGTTATGTACGATGTGCTGTGTTTGTGGGGTTTTTCTTTTTCATTAATTTATTTATCTTTTCTCCTTATTGTCCCTTTGTAAGATTGCATTCTGGCTATACAGCAAAATAATACACATATTAAAAAAAATAACTCAAATAATCCTACAAGTAACAAGTTCAGCGGCAGCTGTGTCTTACCTCGTCTGTCTGTGAGACCTGTCCATCTGTGAGCGGCTCCAGTTCAGCTGTGGGTGGAGCAGCCAAGATTCTGCAGATGAAACAGAACCACTGACAAACTGAAAACCACACCAGAGGCTGCATGTGTTTACGGTATATGACAAAGTTTTAATGAAACACAGACTGCTGCATGAGACCTGAACACTCCTGATTTGTCATATTTCCCATAAATCCTGGTGCTCCACTGCTGAAGGTTTACTCTTTATGTTCAGTGCAGAGGGTGAAACACTGGGACATGTTTGGTGTCTATGTTGTCAGCTCTAACAGGTCTGTCCTCACCCTCTCAGAGCACTGAGCTGGAACTGCTCAGCACAGTACAGCAGGAAACCCTTCAGATCTGTCTTGCTGATGCCTCCTATTGGGTTGATGTCAGCACTGGAGCAATCATACTTTGTGAAGTACCCTGTGAGACTGAGCAAGACAAGTTAGGCTGTTAGGCTCTAGCATCAGTAAATCCTCTGCTTACAGCAGTTTATAATACTATTTACAACTCTGAAAAATGATCACTGCCACAATCCTTTCATCCTCTGTCTTGACAATCATGAGGTAAACAGGAGAAATGATTATTATTCACATTACAAAGTAATCTATCAAGAGTGTCATCTGCATGTGTTTGACTAGCAGCACCTTTTTGAGCTTGCACTGAGAGAAAGCTGCTTTTTAATGCAGTGATGTTGTCTGTCTGGACACTGGTCCTCAGACTGTGTGACCGCAACAACTGTGTTTATTACATGTCACTACAGAAGACTGGGCTGATAACATCTTGCTATATCAGTTTAAGTCACGTCAGAATGTGCAATCACAGTGCTGTGATAACAATAGAAAAAGTTGAGCGCGTACCATGAAGGCTTAGTCCTAACAGCAGTAGCCCTGGTTCCAGTCTGGCCCAGGTTTTCCCTAACTTTCCTGTACCTCACTATCTCTACCAGAATTAAGGCAAAAAAAATGACATAAAAATAACTTATAAATATAAAGATATAAAAAATATAAAAAAGTACATGAGATTAGATGCATACTCTGTGGTTTATAAATTCTGACTCATCTGTTCACCCAAAGTCCCATAAAAGTTTCTGTTTGTTTTGCCTCCATTCTTTTGGTTTGTGTGCATGTATGTGTACTTTTCCCCCCAAACACTTTCTTCAGAGCATTGTACTGGCCTGTGTGTTGTGCATCATTTTATACTGTGTCCTGATTGGTTGGTTTGTAGACACTCACAATGAAAGAAATTTCAGATTCTACCAGATGCAGACTGTGTTTGGTTTCCAAAGCTCCTGATCAACCATCAGAGGACCCATCTCACAGTGTGGTGTAGTGTCTCCACCTGGAGCCTGTGTCTCCTCTGAAACTATTTTTTGCAGACAGTAACATGAAACATCACAGATGTGTGTGTGGTTAGCTGATACCTCTCATCTACATTGGCTGAGCCCAGCACCAGCAGTCCACCTGGTCTACCTGAGGCCCACAGACTCAGCTGAGCAAACAGGTAGGCCAGGACCATCCTGACCCGGGCCTGGGAACGAACACACACACACACACACACACACACACACACACACACACACACACACACACAGAGGAAGTGAGTAAGTCACAGTTGTGTTCCTGCAGCAACAGTGTGAAGTCTGTGGTTAAACTGTCAGAGTGTGTCTGTGAAGTGAGACATGAGACAACAGTCTCAAAGTGAGTGAGTCTGACCTGTACATTCTGCAGAGCCAGGTTTTCTCTGTGACTTCCTCCATTGGCATGAAACTGAGGCCACCTCCCAGTAACCGCTGAGAAGATACCCAGAATGCCTTTCACTGCCATGTCTATATTAATATTCATGTGTGAGCTGCAAAACAGGATGAAAAAGGATGAAGCGGCTAAAAGAATAACTAGGTAAAAAGAATTAGACCCTACTACTATAGTCTGTCCTCTTCTGTCATGTATTTACCTTCCAATCTGACTGGCCAGCTCTTTGGCCCTGTTGCGTGTGTCCTCAGAGGAGTTTTCGCTGGCCATGTAGCAGGTGGTAAAAATGCGGCCACACAACTCCTTTGCCTGTTGGGGACAGTAGGAGTCATCCCCAACCACCCTGCGGATGTCTTTCAGGACCTGTGTGTCTGAGAGAGAGACATGGTTTCTTCACATTTTTCATATTGTATCACAATGTGGGCTCTAGCATCACCATCTACAGCCAGATCCTTCACATCCTTATACAATCAGGGTCTGAAAGTAATAGATAAAAGCCTGTCTGATGGCAACACTGTAACATACTGAAAGTATGTTACAGTGTATTCATCTTTTCTTTCTCAAATTAGTGACTAAATGTATCAACAGGTTAGATCAAGAGTCTCTCTCCAGATATATAGATATAGGAGAGACAGTAACAGTAACTAGTAGTGTGGTGATTGACAACTGCAAAATATCACATAATAGATTAATCAGCTTTCTCCACAAAGGGCTGACAATTTTGGAACACATCACTAGCTGAAATTAACTCTACATATAGATTCTTGTACAACAGGAAACAACTGCTCAGACATTTGATACGGACCACGTCAAGTGGTGGATGAATACACATTTGGTGCTGCAGTCTTTGAGGCAGCAGGGCAGTGTGTGTGGGACTGTCGATAAAGTCCAGCCAAAAATATTGCAATATACGTTATTATTGTATTACTGGGTTTCACCATATATTGTTTATATTTTCTTATGACTATATTGTTGTATTTTATGTTATTATGTTATGTCATTTTTTTATTATATACAGTATAATTATATAATTATATTTTATAATTCAGTTTTTTTAATGTATGATTATATTATTATATTTTATGATTAAGGTATTCTTTATAATATATAATTCTATAATTCTATTTTATGTTTCAGGTATGGTACGGTAAGTGATGCTGCCACTAAACAGCAGTTTGTCACATGCCAAGGTTTAATGTACAGGAAGCAAAGCAGTGAAATAAGGGTCAGACTCAGCAACAGGACAGACAGTGCAAGACGAATAAACGAAAAATATGTCTTGATATTATGTAAAATATTGATAATAGTGGGAAAAATTGCAATATTTGTATTATCAAATATCGACCCGAGCCTATTACTAGCCTTCTCCTTTACAATAACATGTGTGAGCAATCACTTTGAGAGAATCTGTGAAGCAAAGTGATCCACACTCACTGCCGTCCTCTACAGCCTGGCAGAGCAGCACACACATCGAGTGGACAAGACAGGCGGTGGAGGAGCTGTCGACACCTCCACTCAGAGGCAGCAGGAAACCAGCCTGGAGCACAGATCAGAACCAGAACCAGCACAGACGCCATCATGTCAGGATCTACACACATCTACACAGTACAGCAGCACTGTTTTCAGCGTGTGTTCCTCCTCACCTGTCCACTTCTCCTCAGGTAGTCCCACAGCCAGCAGGCCGGCCCTAGACTGAACAACACAGATGTCAACAGCTATACAGAGGAGTTATTAATAGATGGTTTCTTTGATTTAACAAAGATAAAAGATAATTCTGGTTTTGTGTCAAGAAAAATACATTATGTACAAAATAAAATGTATTTTGTACCTGATCTCTTCCTCTGGTGTATGAAAGTGCCACATTATTGGTTGGTGAGTGGGCAGGTAGAAATCATCACAAGTGGATAAAGGGAAGTCGACTTTGACCCTGTGGCAAGGTTTATGTTCACTCTCCTACAACAGAGAAGGGACAGAGGAAACAGAGAGACACAACCAACAGTTAATCAATCAAACAGTGATCAAGAAACAGAGAAGATTTTCTGCTTCTGTTAATACTGTTTAACTGAACAAACTAAAACATGAAAGTTAAGAGAGTAAACTTTAAGTAAGATCACAGAGCAAGTTTAACATCCATTCAGAGCTGTGCTTTTGTCTACCTGACAAATTTCCACTATTAACACAGTGTTCTGTTTTAGTTTCCACCAACTCCCTGACATCAACCTCTGGAGCTGAATCATGAAGCCAACACTGAAGCGAGAAAAAAATGCAGTTCCTCTAATGACCAGAGTCTGGATCCAACTATGAGTCAATCACCATAGACTCCCATGTTAAAATGTCCAACTTTACAGCAGAAATAAACATGTTTACAGCCTGTTACAAAAACAGTTTTGGTCTCTATAGCTAATTTCCTCCTCCATGACAACTGTACTGGGGTTGAAATTTTCTGCTGTTTGCTGCTCAGCAGGAAGAGGAGTTTTTAAGGCAGGTCAACACAAAGTAGCAGACAAATGAAATTGTTACACAATAAAACTTGGTGATTCGTGAGCTCTAGAAAGGCTGGAAGGTGGCGCTGTCTCACCATGACAGGCTGACACAGTTCTCCTCTGTAGCTACGCACATCCTCAAGGTCGACCGTTGCTGTAATCACCTCCTACAACACACCAACAAAGACACACACACACAGAGTAAGAGAAAGAGAAAGAGAAAGAGAAAGAGAGAGAGAGAGAGAGAGAGAGAGAGAGAGAGAGAGAGAGAGAGATCAGTGTGGCTCTTGTGACATCATCTTTGCAATTTCTGCCTGCTCTGCAACACACACCAACACACTTGCACACACAGGACACCTACACACAACACTTGTTGCACTAACTTGCAGGTACATTGTGAGCTGGATTTGACTCCTCACACACAGGGCTGGACAGTAACTAAGTACATTTACTTCAGTACTGTACTTAACTATATTTTTCCAGTATCTGTTCTTTACTTGAGTATTTTCTTTTGTCAACTTCTGGCTTTTACTCAACTACACTTAAAAGACAAATATTGTACTTTTGACTCCATTTCATTTCTATGTTTGAAAATAAAGATGAGGCAAAAGACTCTTCACCTGATCTGAAGTCCATGTTTGAAGGTTTATAAATAAAGAAAGATTCGTTTAGTTTGAAATGTTTGTGTTTACCATGACCAAACTTCATCACTGACTTAAAAAAAAAAAGAAATATGAAAACAAGTCTAGTCTTTGTATCATATCCTACAGTGTTTTTATTCTACAGATTGTAACCCCTATAAATGTAACAGGCAGCTGTTTGATTTAAAATGATCAGATTATGCATGTAGTCCCACAAAAAATCCAAAAGGTTGTGCAGTGTCTACAAATGAGACACGCTCTAAAGTAGAAGCAGGGAGGGAAAAAAAGTAGGAGGGGAGAAGAATGAGAGTGAAAGTAAGAATGAGCACATTGGAAACGAGATTGCAGGTTTTGTGAGCAGTGTTGAGTAAATGTTGTTGATATCAAATTAACTTCAGTGTTAACATTTTCTAAAAAGTAAATTTACTTAAACTCAGATTACTGTTGTTGCCAGAGGGTTATGGAGGACACCTAATTGATGTGTATATATGATGATTCTCATTTAATGACTGTGCATGGAAAAAACCAATTGGAGAAATGTGATAGCCTTGTGAAATTCATTTTTAGTCAAAGACACGTTTTGTGTTTTATTTTCTATTAGCATTTGAGCAAGAAATAGGCTGATAAAAATTCAGAACGAACTGCTAAGATCCTACTAATTCTGCATAGTATGTAGAAAAAGAATGGATTTAAACTGAGGTTAAATTGTATGCAGGTTGTTTTTTTTTATGTCGACTTCTAAGAGAGGACGACTGTAACTCGAGGTGTTTTCCAGCGAGCAGGAGGCAGTCTGACCACCACCACCACCGCTGCACATAGAGAAGTCACGGAGCCACACCATGGTTTTGGATACACCAGCTTTCCACACGATTCCAGATAAGATTTAACAAAAGAGATATAAGGGGCCCCAAACTAACTAAAACAAACTGACTGAACTGGGATAAAAATCTAAGTGACTGAAAAAAAACAAGAACTTTTGACTTGACTAACTTAAAATAACTTTTCACAGAAAGGATCCTACTTTACTACTGAAGAAAAAATGAATAAGAGGTACAAGAAATATGCCTAAGTCTCTGCCCACTCGTCCACACGTCCATACGTACCACATCATTGAGGGAGAACTGTGCTCCCTGTGCCACCAAGTCTCCGTTGATGGCCACCATGGCACAGCCATCGTAGTAGACACGGTCTCCATCACAGCCCCTCTGGTTGGCGTACAGGTAGATACCTCCACTCTGGAACAACACCAACAAAACTGAGTGCAGAACTGACTGCAAAAAAAAAAAAAAAATCTAAAAACCATAGATCTCCATTGCTAAAATAGATCTCCGTCTGAGCAGCAACAGTTACCCACAGAATCAATTCCTCTTTAGTTGTTTTGCTTAGAAAATAAAAGCACAAGAAAGTCTGCTTCTTTTTGGGTTTTTTTTCTGCTTTTATTCTGGAAAGTTCTGAAAGGAATTTCCAAAGGTTCTGTTGCTTGCTTGACAAACTTCTGACAGAGTGGACATAAATGTGTGATATGAAAAATATATGAGTGAACCAGTCAGTTGTATAAACGTATAATATGTGACTGTGGGTGGGCAAGCTTACAAACATCTGAAAGAAGCGTCAAAGCAGCGGAAAGATAGGAATCACAACTTCTGTTCAGGACTTTCAAAATAAAATCAGAACGAAAACCAAATGCAGAAGATTAGCAAGATCTTGGATTGCAATGATCTCTTTACCAGATTGCCACCCTTATCTGTGACTGTGGGCCACAGCGCCACACATGTGAAGCGCAACAAAGTAAATTCCAGTTGCATTTTGATCAATAACTTCATTTAGCCTTTGATTATGTTCTGACCCGCCATTTAATGGATTAGAAAAAAGTTGGCCCAAGGCCCAACTTACTTGCCGACCTCTGGCCTATGTAGTCTTACACATCATACATCTGTACCGAGCATAATCACACATATATCATGTCTCTACATGAACAGCTCTTTACTCCTGGGTGAAGTGTACCTTTGTGGTTGCCGACCTGACCAGGTTGACTCTCTGGTCAGCCTTGCGGAGCTCGTGGTGGCTGGCAGATGAGTTAGTGAAGATTTCAACCCCATCCAGACCCATGTCTATGTGGGGGCTGAGAAACAGAGACATCATTCATCAGGAGTTACTGCACAGAAAACTACAACACCCACAATCCTCTGGTGCTCTACCTTCTAGGGTTCCAGAGCTCTGCGCATATCTCAGTGCCGATACAGGTGTCCTTTGTGGACAGCACACAGTCACCAAATGGGACTGTGTCCTGATGAAACCAAGAAAAAGGGAGAAAAAACAATGACCCTCCCCCTCACTGTGGAGAATAAGTGTTCTGGGTCTCAGTTAAACACTGGTGATGATGGCTTTTTACCTGCCCTGTCACCTCCTGGATCATTCTGGGCAGGAAATATTCCTCCATCTTCCTTCAGGAAACAAACAGACAGACAATCACTGTCACTACCATCCATTTCCAAAAGTCAAACAAGATTACATTAGTGATATCAAACTTAACCACCGCACAATGAGATGACTTCACTGAGAGCAAACAACGCATTCCTGACAATGTTATATGAGCACAACTGGAGGTGTGGTGAAGTATCCAGGCGTCTTTACTTCCCTTCATCCTTTTCTGACGACCAAACTTCATATAATTCAAATGTAATTTCTGGAAATATTTTCATCTTTGCAAAGTTTGTCACACTCACGACTGTTAATATAACGCTGATTAACGGTTAATACAACTGTAAAGCGGAGTGATACATGTAGTTAAAAATCCCAGTGCTGTTGTACTCTATATCAGCACTCATGGAATGACTCTAGTCCAATCAAATTACTTTGTCGGAACTAACTGTTGTTTGTTTATGCATACACATACGTCACATGACCAGTCACCATTATCCTCATTTTTCACTTTTCAGTATTTTAACATTTTTTCAAAAGATTAACATATTAAAAATAACATGACAACAATATTACAAATTTTCAAAAGGTTACAGCATTTTACACAGAATTAACAAAAATAAGAGAACCAACTTCTATATACACAACTGGCTGCATGAAAACAATCAAATTTATGAACAGAGATAGACTATAGGTCCTTCAACTGCATCTACATCATGTGTGTGTATTGAGTATATTTATCAAACCTGTGAACTTTTGTAATTGTACTGATTGAACCTGAAGAAGCCACAGGTGAAACGCGTTGTTCACTCTCAATAAAAGTCCCAGTGAAGTCATCTAAGTGTGTGGTGCTTAAGTTTGATTTTCACTTTTGTTGTTCCTGCAACCAACCAGCACCTGATTGCTTATACTGGCTGTGCATGGGGAGTTCTGTTCACTACATTTGTATCAGAGTTTAGCCCTTATAAAACCACTCCCAGCCTTTTGGGAGATATGCTTACATAGCTTAGCTCAAAGACTTCATTTTATTTTTGTAGTAGTCCAGAGATAATGAACAAATATGAAATAATATACATTTCAGCAACTCTGACAGTCATATTTAAATGTGTCTTGTGTATTTAACTTGTGTCAGTATAGAAAATGAGACATTGTGGTTTTAGTGGCAGTTAGTTAGTCCAGGTTTGATCACTGTTCCAGTTCTGAATAAAAACCAGGTGACCAAGTCTTATATAATATAGATAATATTGGAATGATTTACCACTTGCAATACGGTAGTGTCCTATATGTCCCACTTTTAAGACACATCTCAAACACCAAATGAGATCTGTGATCACTCTTAACTCAGAATGCAGCAAAATGTATTTGTCTTTTGTTGGTGTACTTTATATTTATAGTAGTGTATTGTGACTTGTGATGTTTTTTGTTGTATATGACCTGCCCGGAGACTATGAATGTAAATTTGCATTTTCTCTACAATCCAGCATATTTACATTGTGTATTTTGTACTGATGTTCATTAACATGTATTGTCCCTATCAAATAAACGAATAAATAAAATAAATTAAAAAAAAAAATTGTACCTTTTATGGTTCACTGAAAACAGACTCATCTGATTTAGGTGGTTCAGTAAATAGAGAGAATGATTCTCTGTGGATTAACATCACTGTATCCCACTGTTTTATACCCACAAATAAAATATCAGTATACAATTCATGAAACATGAGAGTAATAAATATAATAACATAGTTGATAGTTTGTGTCCTCATGAAGATAGAGAGACAGTGATAAGAAGGTCTTAATATATCAGTGACCTCAGAGAGATGACCCACCTCAGCTGATTCCAGGGTGAGAACCAGCGCACCTCTCTGTAGCTCCCGTGGTTGGCCATCAGCATTTTTGGTCTGATCAGCAGTATCTTTCTACAGGAAGGAGCCAACATGCTGACTAATATTTATATACATATATATGTACACACACAAACACATATGTATATATGACAGTATGTCATGTATGAGAGTTGCCTGGTGTGCAGACATACCTGTTGAGGAACAGGACTCTACAGTTGTAGCGCACATTATGATGCATGATGGGCCTGGGGGAGCAGAGTCCAACATGGTGAAATTTATTAGGTGACAGCTCACCTGTCCTGTCACATTAGAAGAGTTTCCCTTGCACTCTACGGTGGACGACCAATGTCTGACTGTAACCCTCTCATCCTCACCACAGTGACTTTTATGCCTCAGCGCCAGCAACTGCCAGAGCCAGAAGCATATTGCTTTCGGGTTGTTTGTCCATCTGTCTGTACATACGTCTGTCCGTCCCATTCTTGTGGACACGAGATCTCAATACCGCCTTGAGAGAATTTCCTCAAATTTGGTTAAAAAAAAAAGTTCACCTGGACTCAAAGATGAACTGATGATGATTATGATTAGATAATATTATTATATTAACTCAAGACTTCACACAGCAATTGTGACAAAATGTCACACAAATGGTTAATATTTTATATGACACTGGATAAACAAGGATGTAACCTGAAATTAGTCTGAGTGGAGGAGGCAGATAAACACAAGGAGGTGATTCTAGTTAACTTTGAATTAAATCTGATTAAAAACCACCTTACCTTCATTAAAGCCATTTGATATGAAAGGGTTTTCCCAACAACATGTTGCCACAGTGTTACAATGCCTTCTAACACAGGACTTCCAGACTGACTACTTGGACTGGTCTGTGTCTAAAGGTGATACCCACATTCCCACGTCACAGATGATGTCCTGGGTGACAGGAGATTCCAGAAGTTTCCTCAGGACCTGGAAGCTGTGGAGCAGTGTGTCCGACTCATAGAAGTGGTCTGCACAGCCGTACCCACTGTAAGAAGACAGTGAATAAGAAAAGAAATGACAGGTGAGTGTCAAGTCAAACTGAACCTGAAAACTCTGGCAGTGTTAGCAACTTATAAAACTATAGGGCATTCAAGACACAAGACTAGACGAGATTAGCCAAGATAACAATACTATAATGTTTTCATATGGGGACGTACCATATCTCCAGCTCTGGGCCCAGTCTGTATTTGGCTCCATGAGTTTTAGCAATCTCAATACCTGCAGAGAAAAACAGACAGACAGACAGACAGACAGACAGACAGACAGACAGACAGACGATTATTGTTTTCAGGCTTAAGTATTACTACTGCATCAACAACTGCATTGCCTAGCAATGTAGCGCTTGGTCTGTGTGTGCCAGCTGCAGCCACTGTAGAGTTTGTTGTTTATACATCTCTCGTTTTTCTGCTGCTGTATTCTGCACTGACAGGCAGTGCGAGGACCCTATTGAATCCATGCTGTTTATTATTATTCCTGAATGAAAACCGCAATTTTGAGGCCTTTCCCATCCTCGAAAACAAAATGGCAAAATGGCTCTGTTACAACCCGGCTCACAGGGGAAAAGGGAAGCAACACAAAACCCAGTTGGTATTAGGTATAAGGTTGTTTATTGTAACATAAATTGTAAAAAGAATGGTTTATATGGACACAAAACACAAACCAAGGAATGGGGCCGGTGGGTGCTGTCCAAACCAAAAACAGAATATAACAAAAGGAGGACTCTCTATGAGCTAATCAGTAAAATCAGTTACCCAATTGAAAAACAAAACTGGCTACCAAGGCCGACTAAAGAACCAAAACACACCAGGAACAGCACCCCTGCACCTAGTGTATGTAACAAAACAAATGGCTACAAGTGGAGGAACCAGCAAAATCAGTTTCAGTATAAAATCTAAACCTGACCCCACTTCCAGGCTTCCAAGATTACCATCAGTAAAATACTACAAACAAAACTGTCGCAAAACAAGCGACCACTCTCTGCTATCTTACTGTTCACACAAGATAAATATTCTTTCAACAGAGAGGCGAGCTGCCACTAACAGTCAGCTGCCACGACTGACAGACGGGCCGGAGCTTTTTAGCTGGGTGTTCCTGATTGGGCGGCATTGATTGGCCAGCTGCAAACAAACCGCACCAATTAGGCAAGAGAGGGTGGAGCATCCGTGGGGACAGGAGCAGGCCGCTCGGCAGGCAGCCTGGCAAACAGAAAAATTAAACACAACAAAAGTGGCCAGAGTAGCGGCCGTAACAGGCTCGATAGCGCCACCTATTGTGGCACTAATTGCACTAGGTTTCACCTACATGCACAAAGCTTGTGAGGCACATGTACCATGTCAAAACATACAAAAAACATTATAGCTGCGTTTCAACCACTGCAGCCTACAGTCCCAGGAAGATTCTGCAAAATTATTACTTGACATTCCATTATTCACAACACTTTGGGGACATAACATGAACGAAAATACAGGACAAACTGTTTCCCGTATATATTCAATAGGTTACAGGACACAGCACTTTATTTTGAAATACATGAGGATCCTTTATTATACATGATGGATGGCAACCCTAGCGACTTGTTGTGGTCCTTTATTTTTTTGAAGTCTTGTTTTTTTTTTACCTTCTTCTGGACCTGTTTCGCGGTGTGGAAAAAGTTTGTTCGCTCACTGCAGACTTTTAAACATCGCGGGGGAAATAAAATGCAGCGAGTACTTGACCAGTCAGAAATGTTCAGCACTGCAGACCACATCCCACAAAGTTCCTGAACCTTTGGAAAGTACCAACCCCTGACCAGGTACCTTTTTGGGGGTCGATCACTTACCCCGGACCTAAATTTGGACCCTGGTTCCTGCAGTGGAAACGCGCATAGTTCCTCAAAAGGTTCCTGGTTCCTGGGGAAAGTTCCTGCGGTGGAAATGCGGCTTATTACAGCCCATACCCTAAACCCAAAAGGACGTTAGATATTTTGACTTTAACCTGCAATTTTTGCGATTTCAAGACGTCATACTTTAACGAACTTCTCCTAGGAAATTCATCAGATCTACATGATGGTCGGTGAGTGTCATCTTAAGACATTTGTGATGTTTAATTGCGAAGCTTTTAGGTTTTCGCTGTAGGACCCAACGTGGCGAATTTCAAACCTTTTTCATGAAAAACCGAACTCGCTCTCATTCCAACACAAATTGTCCAAACTGCCTCAAACTTTCTGTGTGTGATAAGAGTCTCGCCCTGAATACACTCATATGCTCATATTTAGTGATTTTCATGGTGCCCCTTTGTGGAAACAGGAAGTGTCATGTTTTACACTTTGATATGCTGTTCATAGCAGGTTGATCGAATCTTGATCCAAACATGGTCAGGAAATGCTTAACTACTTGATGATGCACTGTAGTCAAAACTTTTCATGGAACAGCACGGTCTGTGCAATAAATCTTACCCTGTGAGGTGTCCAGCAGTCATTACAATGTGTGCCTTCTTCAAATGGCACGCTGCGAGCCCCCCCAAGGTGCACAGGAGTGTGAGGGCCCAATCATCTCTGCTTGCAGCTTTAATTAGGGCCCGAGGACCCTATTGAAATTGCGCTGTTTATCATTTGGGCCTGAGCACCAACCGGTGTGAGGACCCTATTGAAACTGAAGGATTTATTCAAAAAAAGGTTGTTGTAGTTGTTGTTGCTGGGACTAAAAGTAAGGGCTAACCCTAACCCTTCATTCTCAACCCTTGTCCCCCAAGGGGGTTTTAGGAGAAACATTTCAGATTGACGTGATCTAAATAAGATATGTAATTGAGATCTTAATTACAACTCCCTAATGGCTTTGTAGGAGCTATAAGAAAGACATGAATGAAGTCCAAAAGATACAATGATGGGATCTCATCTACAGCTTCAATTTCTCCCATTGAAATCTCAATTCAATATCTATTTGTCTTACTTAAGTCTCAAAAATTAATTCTCCATTTGTCTCATCTTTTTTGCTATAGAGTTTTTAGGACCAACAATGAGACTGAAGTGATCTTAAAAAGATATACAATATACAATATCCTGTGCAGAAGAATTTTTCTCTGCTATATATGTCATGAATCACTATCTTTCACAAGGAGTAATTTGTATTTTTGTCGCATTTTTATCGTTTTATACATGTGAAGCACTTTGTATCTCTGGTTTTGACAAGTGCTATATAACTAAACTATATTATAATTATTAATATTATTATGTTAATTTCTTTCCTTGTCTTCCATAAATGTAAAACCTCGTTGGGCTTTTATGGAATTGTAAAGTTCCCTATTCCATTCATCATCTGAGAAGTCTCACTCTGTGTTCCACTCCATTTGTCGGACTGAGAAGTGTCTCGACAAGAGGGGTATGGAGACATCGTATTCCGCATCTCCTAACATGCCATTTAGTCTGCCGGACTGCATCATTAATGGAACTAGAAAATGCATTTCCTGGTCAAAATGAGCAGAATGAGATTGCTGAAGCAATGCTGAAGTAGCTGGAGAAACTGCTGAAGCAATGCTGAAGAAGCTGAAGCAAGCAACTGCTGAAGTAGGTAATGATGCTAAACTAATGATGTCTGCACTCAAACTAGGTCACTGCCTCCTTCCGCAGGCAGAAAATCCAGTATTCTTCTTCTTTGGCAATTTCGGATGGCTCTGCCTGATGCACAACTTACGATACAGTGCCACTACATTGCCTCAGTGGCGTACAGCCACAATTGCAGTTACAAACGTCAAATCCAAGAAAACATTAATAGAATTTTGTCGGGAGGCGGAGGCGGCACAAAATTTGACGGAGGCGCCCGCCTCCCAATTGTCTATGCGCGAAAAACTCTGGGCACAAAGTATACAGTAGTAGTAAACAACCAAAGAAAAGTAAAAGGGGGATCTCGAGCATAAGACCAGTGGATCAGGTTAAATTCAATATGTCTGCTGCTGTATATACTGTTGTACTGACCAGTCTGAACTGTAATCTCTCTCTATGAGTACTAACCCGAGTACTAACTAATCAGTTTTCTGTCTGTCTGTCTGTGTGTCTGTGTTTATTTGTGTTTGTCTGTCTATCTGTGTGTCTCTGCTTTTTTCGTATGTGTGTATTTGCGTGTGTGTGTTTGTGTGTGCTGGTGTGTAAGAGAGAGAGTCTGGCAGTTGAAGGCCTGGAGCTCATCTAAATCTATGGGAGAAAGGGTTCAGCAAGCCTTTCAAACTACTGCCATTTAATAAAACACTGTTCATAATATCAGCAAAATTATAACACCGTCAGTGCCATAAGACTCTTCTGAACATCTAGAGCACAAAATGTGGATACAGGCGTTACATAAAAGGGTCAGTTCTGCTTTTCTCATGAAATCAGCTCCTGAATTTGTATTGCAGTCTATGGGAGAGTTGGAGGGTACTCACTGTTCAAATTCTGTTAGTCTCTGTGCTAAGGTAGACACTTTCTCTGAAACAGTACAAATTTTTCTACGACTTCAGAAGAAATGATGTGTGAAGATCAAAATATGTGGCTTTAAGAAAGAATTACACAGATTTTATTTGGACAAGTTTTAAAGCTTCTCGCACTCTAGTGATGATGTCGTCCACTCTAGCTTTGAACACGTAATACACACCCATTATAAACTCAAAAATGATCACAAAAAAGCATGAAACTAAAACTGTGATAATTCAAAAACTGTATAAATCAAAAAGTTGAAAAGAAGTTTCATAGCTGAAAGTCCTGTGAACATTTTAAAGTTTGAATGAAGCCTGTAGCTGAAAATATGTATATGTAGTAGTTGAAGTTCAAAGAGGCAGAAGTTTTCAAGGATTTGAACGGTCTCTCAATTCATTTGAATGGCAAAAAATGAGGACAAAGTTTAATATTTAAAAAAGTTGTGTACAAGCATAAATGTCCAGAAGGAGCTGAACGTTTTGATAGTTGAATGGTTTTTGTAGGAAATAGTATAAAGGACTAGTCGGATGCCGAAAGCTGCGGGAGCATTAAAAATAACTATACTATATATTATATACTACTAAAATATAAAGATTTGAAGAACAATAATAAAACATAAAGAATAATAAAGCAAAGATTTGAAGAACAATTGTGTGAATAAAATGCATTTCCTGCTGAAAATGCATGTGAAGGCTGAGAGCTGAATGATTAAGAGCAGAATTTGTAAGCTGGAGGTTGAATGTTCTGAGATGGTTGAAAAAGGCCTGAGTTGTTGATGGAAGGTGTAACAAACAGCAAAAAAGAGTACAAAATATACAAAAAGTAAAAAACTGAAAAACATGTTAGTTGAAAAATTGGCTGAAAAAAAACCTAAGAAAGAAGAAATGTACAAACTTGTAATGTTACACCTGCAGGAGATTTCTGACACAATGCTAAAATAGTTTAAAAAGCAGCTCATATTAACTGAAGTACAATGCTCTGAAAAATTAGATGCCAAAATTTTAAAGTGGAGGAGCTTAAGTCCACTAGCTGCAAAAGCTGAGAAGTGTTGTTGAAACAGTTGAAAGCAAAATTATTTACTGCCAAAGGTGGAAGTAGAAATAAAATGCCTTAAACATATGAAGAAGTAGTCATTGTATTAATAACAGAAAGATGAACGGCACCTTAAACAGTTAAAATTTTAATTTAAGATATCAATAAGCTGGATAATCACTTAATAGTTGAAAGCTGAGGTAAAGTAAAAGGAGAATCTCTTGTGTTAAATTCAGTATGTCTGCTGCAACACTGTTGTTCTGTCCAGTCTAAACTGTTATATCCCTCTATTAGTACTATTAGTTCATTCTCTCTTCTCTTTTTGGCTTGTTCAGGAGAGCAGGTCCTGCTCTCCCCTCTCGGCTCTTCAAGGGGCAACGAGGCCTCAGCCTAGCTCAGCCCTGCCACCTAAGAAACCAGCTCTATCCAACACTCTTCTCCTGAACAGCAGCGACCTGCTTAGGATTAACTGAGAGTGAACCAAGTTCTCTTCAGAATCAGCGGCTTCAACATAAGGTCAGCCAGCTGATTTTCCAAGCAACAGGAGTCACAGCAGATTTAGCGTGGAACAGCTAACTCTGTGAGAAGAACAAAGGAGAAAACAGTGGAAGCAACACAGTCAGACAGGACTTTACTCCACCAGGACAACCGAACCTCCAACATTTATGGTGTCCAGCTCATGAAACAGAGATCAGACCCAACATCTCTGTCTACCTGCCTGTCCGTCTACCTGTTCATGTGTCTACCTGCCTACCTGTCTCTGTCTGTGTGTCTGCTTGTCTGTCTATCTTACTGTCTGTCTTGTCCCTGTCTGAGCGTTTGTGTGCCTTTCTGCTTGTTTGTCTCTATGTGTGTTTCTGTGTGAGTTAGAATGAAAAACTGAAATTAACTGCCGAATGCTTCCTGACTAAAACTGTCTGTTGTGCCAAAAATGTGCAGCGATTTTAAGAATGCCTCTCTTTCAGTTTCCTCCTGATTTTCTGCTCTCATTTTACATTAGAATGAATGGGGTAGTTATATGGTTGCCAGCCACTTTGAAGGGCACAGTTCAAATTCTGTGAGAATTACAGAGGATTTCTTTTAGCAGTTTAACCCCTTCTCCCACTCTAGCGGTGATGTCACCCACTCTAGCCCTGAAGATTCCATGCAATGCTAACTCATTATAAACTCAAAAATGATCAGAAAAAAGCATAAAATTAAGACTGTGATTAATCAAAAACTGTAGAAGATATGAAAAAGTTGATTACAAGTTCTTAGGCGGAAAGTGATTTTTAATGATATTGCTGAAGCAATGCTGAAGTAGGTGAAGCAATGCCTGAAGATTAAAAGCATAACTTGAAAGCTGGAGATTGAATGATCTGAAATGGTTGAAAAAGGCCTGATGGCAGGTGTAACAAACAACAGTTACAAAATTAGTAAGATGAACTGCACCCCAAACAGTAAAAACTACAATTTAAGATATCAATAAGCTGAATAATCACTTAATAGCTGTCTTGTGAAAAGTTTAAAGTTTGAATGAAGTCTGTAGCTGAAAGTATGTAGTTAAGTATGCCGATTCAGTATTCACACCAATAATAAAAAAAAGATTTGACAAACAACAGTGTGAATGCCTCAGGCATTCCTCCCATGTAATATTATAGGATATAAACTGTAGGATTATATATACACAATTGCATTCTATAGGATTGGATTTTATCTTGCTTCGATCAAATAGATTTTTACTTGAAATTTTCTCTTGGAATCCTAAAAGGACTTTTTGACAAGGGTCCCATCCACTTTGACTCCTGTGCCATGGGTGTTAATTGTTTTACAGCAGACAGTTTACAGCACAAAAAGGCTTATCCATTCTAGAGAGACATTGGTTTCCTCACCATAAGATCTGAGGCAACACAAATATTAAGGGTTAGAATCAACTTCTACACTATCACTCCATTTTGAATGTTTGTGTAGGTGTATGACACCCCTTTACACTCTTTAAATCTCCAACATGTGTGAGACTCCATCAAAAATACCTTTTATTGGAGCTTTCCTGCTGAGCTGAAACGTGTATGCCACAAATGCAAACACCATTAGAAATTAGACAAATAATTCATTGGACTGTATATCATGTCCTCACTGCTTCCCAAACACACTATAGTTACAGCTTAACTCCCCAGTAGAAACATGCAACAGTCTTGCTTCCTTTTAGGATGTTATTTGTTCTTTAATGGCTGAGTGAAGAATAAAACACATAATACATTCTAATTATTAACATTAAGTGGAATAATCCTATTAATGACACTCAATTCCATAAAAGCCCAACAAGGTTTTACATTGATGGAAGACAAGGAATGAAATTAACATAATAATTATTATCATAAAATAGTTTAGTTATATAGCACTTATCAAAACCAGAGATTTCAAAGAGCTTCACAAGGTTAAAACAATGAAAAAGTGACAAATGCTTGCAAATTACTCAAAATAAAAAAGAGAAATGTATGTGAAATGTTTAAACGAGAATATTCAAAAGCCTTGTGAAAGATACTGATTCATAGCATATATAGAAATAAAATAAACTCTGTTCCTCTCTCCATTTATATTAGTGCTGACCAATAAATTGTATTTTCATTGTCATCGTGATATGAACATATGCAACAAGCAAAAGACTGACTGAAACGTGATAAACTGGAAAGAAATAATTGTATTTATTATACGTCATGCAGTCACACAGGGTTTTCAAAGTGCAGAGCCTGAGCCAGATGAACCGGAAAAGAACTTGCGTTTTGGTGTCAGGCTGCAGCCTCTCACACACACAGTGCAGAGGCGGGGGGTGGAGACCAGTGAGAAGTTAACATTTTACTGGAGCTGACAACTACAGTCGTAGTTCTGTGTGTGTCATCACAACCTTTGCGATTGAAAAAGCAATTACCGTCCTTCATCACACCACCTGTTGAACAAGATTTTATCATGTAGAAAATCTACATTTTTAACATCTCCCGTCCACCAGTTTGATTTACACATGTGCAGCGCAGTTACGTTAAGGTAATAGTGAACAGCAAAATTGCACACTTCAATATCTGTTTATTTATCACAAGTAACTGTCACCGCAATATTGAACAGAGTTATCGCACATCACAAATTTTCCTCATACTTGTGTCAAATGACTCCAGTCATGAAGTCTTCCATTTCCTTTTAACTAGCTTGGCACAGCACGGGCAAGTGTGTGTGTCAACCACCACTGTAGTAGACATGCCTCTAAGCTGACACTGGGCTCTATTCTATAACTGTACAGATGTTTAACTAATTAAAGTGCCTCATCATTAGACTGACTAAAAAGTCTCAGGGAGTGCTTGGCATCGCCCGCAATGTCCATAATGACCTGCCAACTTAAATAGAAGACAAAAACACAAAAACAGTTACAATACATCTGCTACAAAGTAATTATAAACAGCTTGTCTGTAAATTGTAAAGTAACATTTCACCCAAATAAATTCGACATTACATTGAGTGAGCTGAAAGCTTAATAATAAACTGAAAGTGATAAGTGTCTTGAAAGAAACAAAGTGAACAGTCCCTTTTCACACACTTAATTGAATAACATTACTTGAAACTGTGTAAACGTGTTGTGTGACATGACTCCAGTCAACCAGTTCATAGTCTACTTTTGGGCAAGCCTACCACGGGCACCAGTGTGTGCTGACCACCACCATAGTCTATGCTGACATTGGGCTCCAGAGTTTTGTCTGTGGAAAGTGCCTCCTCACCAGACACTGACCGCATGAGTAGGAGAGCCATCTTCTTCCTTGGTGGCTCTGGTTCCATTTCCTCTCTGCAGGCCTGTGATGCAGTTTCTCTGTCCTTCAGCATATGACTCAGCTTTTGCCACACCTCTCCGCTCCCTGCTTTGGGCAGGCACCTGGGGTCCTTGAATTGGGGGTCTGGAGCTGTTGCTAGCTTTAACCATGAAAGGTTTGTGTTCTCCTTTCATGTGTTGAGGTCCTCTGTGAATGCAGCCTTGTAGCAAGGTCAACGTCTGAGACCTCCATTGTACGCATGAGGTGGCAGAGTGCAGGCAGGACCACAGAGCAGGAGCTCAGTGACATACCCTCAAACACACAAACAAGACCAACAGAATTATAGACTACATTTTTCATCATAACACCCATTTAGTGGACAGGCCTAAAATTATTTCTAAAATACAATAATAAAGTTACCATTATACCTTACCCATCATACCATTATATTGAAGAAAATAAAATAGTTGAGACTAGGAAAATCACTTTACCTGCATGACTCCAGCAGTGTTTCCAACTTTGCTAGCATATATTCATATTCAGCTGAGGTTAGCAATAGCTATTTTGTGCTTCTGCTGGGCCAGTGTTGCCTTCAGTGGCTCTTTGTTGTGTTGGACACGCATTATCATCTCAAGTGTTGAATTCCAGCATGTGGGTACATCCTGGATGATTGACTCCTCTGTTTGTCCATGAGAGGCTTGCTGAACTTTCAGCTCTGCTGTGTTTGCAGAACTGTGTTTGAAATGTCCGACTATTTCACAGCACTTGGCTACAGCACGGTTCTATGGCGCTTGTGCTGAGGGGGGAAAAGACAGATGAGAAAGGGTCAGACATACCCATTCATCTGTGAAGATGTTCAGTCATCCAAGTCATGGTTATCCAAGAAATGTGGACTTAGTTGTAGATACTTGAAGATGTTTCACCTCTCATCCAAGAGGCTTCTTCATCTGTGAACTATCTTCTAGTATCTAAAACCAAGTCCACTTGCCCTTAATTCAACCTTTCTTGGACATTATTAAAGTTATGGAGCTTCATTAGTTGTGATCATCATCAGCTTTTGCCGCTTATGTTAAACAAAGTATGACAAGTGGCATCTGTAACTGATGTTTTCTTAGTGAGTTTTTTTATTTGTCAAGTATGTTTTGACACACAGGAAATTCGATGATTATTTGATATTAATTCCTATAAACTAATAATGTAATTAGTATATACATGTCCAGTAAGTATAATTTGTTCCCTAATACTGTGAATTCAACCACTAAGGGATATTTATATGGGTAGACAGAACTGAATTGTTGTGTGGGAAGTAAATTCAAGACACTCTGCAGGTACATTTTGAGGTAGACCAGTTTGTTCAGACCAAAAAGGGCAAAACTAGGCTGAGAGCAGATGCTCATAGCTGCTGATCACAGCTACTGTTAAAAGCAACACAGGTATAATAAGTATTACCTCTTAATAATTACAGTATTACTTCTTATTTTGAAGTGATATGATGAAAATTATGATAATAATAATAAAATTATTTATTATTATTAATTAATTAATTAATATAAAATGTCAAGTATGATTCCTTACATAATATGGCAGTATAATAAATATTTACTATGACTGAATGCAACAATCTCACCATGGTCCACTCAGCCTGAAATGCAGCAACACTACTCCTGCACCACATAGCACCTAGTGCTACTACAATAGCTTACTAATATACACCAACAAGATTACTCATTAATAAAGAAGTATAATACTTTTAGTAGTTAGTGTGAATCTCCACTATTTTTTCAAAATTGCTGTTTTTGAATCTTACCTTTTGTTTTCAACCTTCCTCCATCTTCCCTCTCCCTTTGTCATCAATCCAAAATCAGCTGAGATGCAAAGTAATATAGATAGGTAATGGTCAAAAGAATGACAAAGCCCAAATACATTCAAGTTACGTTTTTGTTTACCGTTTAGAAACCTTATCCTCTCAATAATGCACTTTAGCGATGTATCACAAAAATAACTCTATTCATTATTACTGCTATATAACGTAAACTCGCGCCAAAATGGATATTCACACACACCCAATGTTATATTTCACTAATATATAACTAACTGCACTCCAAAAAAAATCACTTCCAGCCTTTTACTCGAATTCCACAATGTTGGATGAAATGACATTACGAGACAGGATTTACAACCAATAGGCGGCTCCTGGTTAATGTTGAGTGTTGCTAACTTTATCCATATGCAGTATCTAAGTCAGTGACGTGCGGTGAGGTTCATGGCTGGTGAGGCACTGACTTCATCACTAGCGCCCTCTACCATGAGGCAGGAGAACTGCGTGCCTCACCCAGTGCGTCTTCGCAGCCGTTTTATGATTGCTCAGCACAAGAAACACGTTACACACATACAGTTGTTGATAAAATACACTGTACATTATATACCTCAGCTAACTAAACTATGGAAATTTATAATATAATTCATATAGCAAAAGTGTTTGAACATTTTAATAGCGACATACAGAGAGATAGCAATACGGTCTCACTGCACAGCAGGCCAGCAGTTAGCCGAGTCATTGCGCAATCCATGGTGAGGCTCAGCTGGCTGCTGGCAAGTCTCTTCTCAGTATTTGAACGGTAAATGTCAAAATTCAGCGATTTTGAATAAAAATAATCTAAAACTGGTGAAGTTAAATGGAAAATAACTTTATAGTATAATCACTGTATACATATAACAATTTAATTAATTTTTTTTCTTTTTACTTTTTTTTTCTTTCCATGATGGCAGGTGAGGCAGTGCCTCACCTGCCTCCCCTGACTGCACGTCACTGATCTAAGTCTAATCTGTTATTGTCCTTAAATATACTAATTTAGTGGAGAATCCACTAACATGCTTTAATGCACATGTTAATTAGATTTTGACATACTGATAACATGCAATCTGGTTATTTACAAGTCTCACCTGTTAAACGTTCAACACAGATGGTATATTCTGCTGCGCTGCTAGCATTTCCAACAATTGAGATGATCCATGTTCCGCCATTGCTGTTAAAAAAAAATGGTCCATAGAGTGAACGCAGATGACGCGACTCTCTATTCAAGGGCTCTGGGCTGAAACACTTCTGTTAGGACATAGCTTTTTCCTGAATGGCTGAAGGCTTCATTGATACGCATGACGTGTTACATTTTTAATGTAAGAACTTCAGATCTACTTTTACAGAGGTAAATAATTAGCTGCTGCTGTGACACTGTGACACAGCAGCAGGTTGAGCTGCCCTCTACTCGCGCTACGGGAAGTAGACTGTTGTCCGACTTGACAGCAGTCGTTTAATACTAGAGACAGTAGAGAAAACTGAGACGCTTCATTTCCGTTTATTTCCTGTATCTGTGTGACGTGAGATTCTTCAGCTCCCCGCCCCTTTAGGAGACCAGAGTGAGTGTATTCATTTCAATGGGCGAAGTGAACAAATTCACAGATTATCAGATTCTTTTGCTGGAATAAATCACCGGATAAATATTGGACCCAGTCTTCACAAGCCACACGTTTTCGGAACATTTTGACGTCAAAATGACATTTTTTCAGATCAACAGATCAGGAGAAAATTAACTTTACTTGAGACCTGCCTCTGTCTCAGTGCTATACTCTCGCGAGATCTGTCAACTGCCGACATCGTTTGCCAACCGATAACGAGATGTTTAGATGGACCAGTTATTTTTGGATTTACTTATTTATACGTTAAACCATGGATTAAACTTTAAAACTTAAACAGAACTTGTTTCATTGCTTAACAATTGCTAAAACAGATTATTAGCCTATTAAATTGACATGACTTTGTACTGGGCTGATCAAATGTCGTTAATAGATTAAAAAAATTGCTGCAAAAAAGGCGCAAATTTGTCCGTGTTGTATCGTCTATTGTTGTATTCTCTTGGCAGGGACAAGTAATCAATCAGTTAGTGTTAAAATGCCCGAGCTTTGTGCAGCAATAGGCTGCAATAACTAGAAAAACGGATCTGTCTTTTCTTTCCCAAAGGCTGCAGAGAGGTAAGTCTAGACAGGGATAGATTTTAATATTATTACACTTACGCCCACTCAGGAGACTGGAACTGTGTCCCACTTCATACTATTGGCGCTGCCTGTAATGCGGTATCTTCTATATAGAGGATCTTTGTTAATACTCCGCCCCTGAAGTCACCACAGAGGGGCTGTTGCACATTTTCAGTATTTAGTTCGTCGACAGTGAGCCAGAATCTGTGTGGTCACAAAATCTGACGGGTCACAGATTTCGGTGTAACACTGGCAGCTCACGTTGACTATCAAGTCAGCCTAAATCAAACTCGAAGGCACAGATTGAGTCTCTGTGTGCTCAGCTTAGCCATGTGACCCTCCAACAGCATAAAGCATTTTACAATGTAACACATTCACTATCTTCCACGTCCATTATTCACCACTTATTTTAAGATTAAATGTGATCAGCTCTACACTTGAATTAGCAGCTCCTCTCAGCCGTAAATCTGTAAACCGTATGTCAATGTGCAGCTGAAGCAGCTTCAGACAGTCCCACCACTTACTTTTCAATATTCTCTCCAAGTTGCCTTCAAAGTCCAAACTCCACTGATTCAACGAGCAGGTCGCGAGAGTCACTTTACGTCCCATTATCTCGATGGTTTGCAGCTATAACAGTGACTGCGCCGTAATGCAAATTAGATGCGATATACCGTCAAGCTTCTACAGCATAGGTCATACACTACAGTTGTAGTTGTAGTTGTAGTTGTAGTTGTAGTTCTTCTTCTTCTTCTTCTTCTTCTTCTTCTTCTTCTTCTTCTTCTTCTTCTTCTTCTTCTTCTTGGCAACCAGCGTAATACGTGCATTACCGCCACCCTCTGCTCCGGAGTGTGGATCACAGATTAAATTATTCTATTCCATAACCCCATCTGACTAAGAAATTCACTGAAGACTTTTCTGCTCTGCCCATTAGATAAATCCATCAAGTGTGATTTGTAATGTTATGAACATCCACCCTCCTGAGCTCTTCCTTCATAGCTTGTCTCTCTGGCTCATACCTATCACATTGTGTAATTGCATGTATGTTTCCTCTGCCTGACAATATTCACACAAGCCGGTTGGGTGTTTTCCTATAATCTGAGTGTAGGCATAGGAGTGACGCTATTGCCATGACAAAAATCTTTCCACACCAGATGGACAGATATAAACACCTGCCAATAGGGTTGCCACCTTTTATGTGAAAAAATAATTGAAAATGATAAACCAATCTACTTGTAGGCTACCACTGGTTTGGTTTTACTTGACATTACATTATACACAGCACTTAAAGGACATAACATGAACAAAAATACAGAACAAATTGCATTTTATTTTGAAATACGTGACGATCCTGTATTATATGGGACGGGTGGCAACCCTACTTGCCTAAGTACTCAAGACTGCCTCTGTGGTAGTTCCCGCCAAAAGGCTCTATGGAGCTGATAATAATGCATAATTGGGGGATCCTTTTCTGTGGATTCTTCACTACAAGCGACATACAAACAGTCATTTGATTCATTGTTACTGTAAAGATATTCATTATTGCAACCTTAACTCCATAATCACAAATCCAATGTGCTGGCAGGAGCAAAGAGATGACAGTGAAAATTTGTCACTGTCATTCAAGTAATACAGCATTGTAATACACAGTACTATTGTATACGTGTAGATGATCTATGAAAATATATATCTTTCATTCATACCCTCATTCATTTAGTGAAGCACATTCAGACTATAGAATACTGTAAACCTAACAGCTTTTACATGAACAATAGTTTTCAAAAATAAAACAGGATTCATAAAGTCACATTCAACAGACTGAGGTCACAATGGAGAGTGACACAATTAAGTTGTAGACTTTATTTTTCTCCAAAACATGCATTGGATGTGGACAGTGTAAATGGGAAAAAACAACATTTCGTCATCAGTTACAAAGCTAAGGGGAGGCAACAGCCATCGGTGAGAGCTGACACTGTCATTGTGATAACACTACAAGCACAAAAACACACTGTAACTGGTGTAACTGTGGTACTTTCAAACTTCAGTCAGTGCTGTTATTTTCCATCCTGTTTCCATCAATCATCTCTTCCACTTAAGACTTTGCTGTGGCACTTGTATGACCAGAGGGGTGTTTAATAAAGTTTAATAAAGCACCATCACCAGTAGCTCCTTGACTCAGACTTCATCTCAACAACTCTTTGATGAATTGCCACGAAACAGTCATGGTACCCAGATGAAGAAGCCTATTGACATTGGTGGTCCCCTGATTTTTAATGTAGCACAGCCTCTCTGGTGCCTCCAGGAGGGTGGAGTTAGTGGTTCAGAGTGAAAAGTCTTAAAACTTTTGTAGGGATTGTATTAAAATTTAATTAAACAAATCAGATGCCAGCAAATCAAACAACATTTCCATCAGCCTCAGCTGTACTTAGTTTACTGGTAAAATGTTGGGATGCAAACACACTAAAAATGGAAATCAATAACTACTAAACATCAGCATGTGAACTATGTGTCTCTGATAGCATACTGACACAGCACCTCTGTGTTCTTAGACCCTTGGTTAGCTATAGGCTAACCTTTTTCTCTCATTTAAATCAAAAATATGAAAGACAGAAATAATGACCTAAAAAGACAAACAGTATTTCATCAGTACTTCCACCACGTGACTGTTATTGTCACTTCTACAAACCAATTGAACCTCGGCTCTTACAAGCTGCAAATAATCTTATTTTGTGCCCCATCTGATTCATCAGAGTTTTATCACACAGTATCACAGTTTAGTGTAAAGTGTAGTGATCTGTGCTCAACGTTTCAGGTCTGTGTTTTCAAGTAGTCCACCAGCTGTTCTTTAACCAAATTTAACAGATCTTGGACACTATCTTGGATTAAAGGAGCTATTTGTAAGTTTTGCTATTGCTACATAGCTAATGTTAGCATTAGCAGCTGTTTACTGTATACATAGAAGAAAGGTTGTGAGTTCAGCATCAAACTTCATTACTTTACTCACTTTACTCACCAGCAGTGTAAGCAACCATGTTTTGCCTCTATATCTACCATTTATTTTCTTGTCCTGAAGTGAGCATGCTAACCAGGTAGCCCTGGCCTGTCTTGTTACTTTCCAATACTTCCAACGATGACTGAAGGTCTTGATGAGACTGGTAAGTAAACAGGTGTTAATGCTACCTTTCGCTATGTATTAATAGCCAAACCTACGTGAAATAGCTTAATCCTGGTTCAGGTTGTCAGTTTTATTTATGAAACACCCCTCTGAAGATTTCTCCTACCACAGATTAGTTTCTTTCCAAAACAAGGAGCAGCATATGTTTCAGGCATGGGGACAGGATGAGACTGTGATTAATCTAAGGCCAAAAAGATTCAAACTGTGAGGCAACAGTGCGGAAGACACAATGGTAAATGTGTTTGTGTTGTCCACTCAGGTGCAGATTTATGTGTAAAGAGCCATGAGGACGGCGTGTGGACCGGCTACCATCTGCTTCCACATTACAAGGTACAAAAACATCGTGAGTATCTGCATTTTAAATGAACACATACTCCCAATAATCTCTCTCTTTCACACACGCACGCACGCATGCACACACACACAAACACACACACACACATTTCATATGAAATAAATAACAATATGTACAAGATTCTCTCAGGTCAGCAAACTCAGGTTTTACAGTATGTAAGTACACCAAAAACACATCTACACACAATACATCATGTACATCATGTAAACAACCAATAAAATGCTTTAGCCCTGTCATGTTCAAATTATGTAAAATCATAAAACATGAAATGTAGGTTGCACAAAGATTCCAGCATCAATCAAGCTATATTAGACCTAGACACAGACCAGATATGAGGCGTTTTATAATGAGGCGTTTTATAGCGATGTAAAGGTCTGTGTTTCCCCAGAGCTGTTTTCCCAGAGCTGCTGTGATAAAATCTCCACAGTCACACCAACAGTCTTAAACTCTTCTGACAGAATCAAAAGGCAGCAGTGGAGGGATGATCTCCCATGAGCCCATAGAGAAAAACATGATCCGGCCTCTATAGTTCTGGCAGCCTGTCCTTCCTCTCCCCCTCCCACCACCACCCCTACAGTGCCAATGAGATGAGTAGCAAAGTGTAATAGAAGGCAAAGGCAGTATATAGCAAAGTCTTCATTAAAGACAACAGAATCTTCTTTTTGGTCTTTCTCTCTTGACAGCCTCCTTCAATGGTAAAACAGACAGCTTGGGCAGGTAGGAGGGAAGTTTAAGTTTACGATGATTAGACTGGAAATAATTACCTTAAGAATTCATGCTTCAGTGCCAGAAGAAAATGTAGGCAGGTATGTATCAGAAATTCACATCATTTCATATGAGGGTAAGACATACATCTGGTTCAGTATCCCCTGATTATGATCCACAGAGTTGATCAGTGCTGCTTTATGGGAAGACTTTGACCTTCAGAGATGCAAACAACGCAGCAGCACACAGTAAAATAATTATTAAGATGTTAGACACAGCAACAGAGCAAAATTAAACCTGATTAGATGATCAGATGGGTTGTTAACAAACCAGGATCTATACCACATTGTTTGGAGGTAAAACTGAAAGTGAAATCACCTGAACTGTTGCTAAAAAATCCTGTTCTATCATGGGGCCTACAACTGAGACCAGAACTCAACCCTCACCCATGTCTTTTAGACTGAACCTGACTGGTACTGCCAAGTTTGAGACCCCAACTCAACTCAGGACCCCAAGCTAAATTTTTGCTTTATTTCATTCTCTACTGACCATTAGTTTTTCCATGCTAATGCGTCAGCTGGAAAATGTGTATTTTCTTAAAACATAATCAGACAACTGGAACAGTCAGAGAGAGAAATTTTCATTTGAAAATAAAAGACCCAAACTTTGAGCAACTAAACAGCGCCAACTCGGCTCATAAGATGATGCTCTGCTGGGACTGAAGGTTAGGTTCAGGTAGCAGGACTCAGGACTTTAGATGGAGCCAATTCAGAGGCTGCATCTGAAGTCTGAGTACTTCACAGGGGTGCAACTAGACTGTCTCACTTCAGGCTCCAACGGATGGATCCTTTGTGGTCCAACCTATCCCAAGATTCACCGTGTGCCATTAATGAAAATAATATGGCAACAAACAACACTGACAGAGCCTGAAGATTGCATTAAATGTTAAATGTTATATTGGGTTTAAGCTCAGTTCAACAGCTAACGGTACCACTGTTAAAACCACCGCCTCAAAAACCTCAAGTTTTAGTGAAATTTTTTTTGTCAAAGTTCCAAGGGGACAAGCACGGCGCTTTGTGATGCAACAGTAAGGGTGGGGACAGCTGGGGATGCAAAGCAGAAATCCTTAGTAGGCCAGACCATCTCATTAGATTCAGCCTTCTTGCTCTATGAAGGGTAAGAAGGACAAGCCCCCCCCGAAGGATGCTCCCCCAGAATTGAGAACTAGTTAGGACAGCTAGTGTTTAATTTAACACAGTTATTGACGTTAATCCGCTGGCAGCCACGAAGAAACTCAAGTCAGACCATCAGACCCAGCACTGCTAGTCCTACTTTATGCACAAATCTAAGTGATATCTTTGTGCCCTAAAAAAATGACCAAATGTAGCTGATGGGGGCGGCTGTGGCTCAGGAGGTAGAGCGGGTCGTCCTCTAATTAGAAGGTCAGTGGTCCGATCCCTGGCTCCTCCAGTCTGTGTGTCGAAGTGTCCTTAGGCAAGATACTGAACCCCACCTTGCCCATGATGGCTGTTCCATCAGTGTGTGATTGTGATGTATGAATGTGTGAGTGAGTGGGTGAATGTGGCAAGTATTGTAAAGCGCTTTGAGTGGTCAGTAAGACTAGAAAAGCGTTATATAAGTGCAAGTCCATATACCATTTACCATTTAGCCAGGTTGCTAGGTAACCAGATATGTTTGTCTGTAAAAGGCCTTAATATGCTTCAAACAAACTAGTCTCTATGATGTGTCATCCAACACATTACTAAAATGTTTATACCTGTCCTGAATGGCCAACGGAGGAGAAAACCAACCATACAAATTTAAAGTCGACATAAAAATGACTTGGATTTAAATGGAGTGTTTCTTTGATAAGGTCCAAGTTCGTTCTGTCCATCAAACTTCCTCGTAAAATTATCAGGTAACTATTTGAAATTTATGGACTCGTATCTTGAAGCGTTATCAGTTTTAAAAATTATATATTCATACATACTGTAAGGTTGTATTTGTTTTTGCATGTTGGCAACTTTGGTTTAAGGATGTTAAGAATGTGAACCTTGGATAAACTGCTGAACTTTGGGGTGAGCAGGATGTCGAAGGATCCATTACACATCTGGGTTACACATTGTTGTTTGTTGGTTCCTCTACAGTACATCCAGCAGAGATTTAGTGATGCACTCCCTTTTAGGAGGGTGGAAGTAATAAAGTGAAACGTAGAGGTAAAGGTCTCGATGCTATATAAGCAGTTCAAGTTTTATCAATCAAGGAGAGACTGTGTACCCTGCACCAGATCTGTCCTTTGTGCATGAATAAACCAGCCAAATTGAAGTGTTGACTTGTTGGTCTGATTGTGTAAATTTTTTTAAACTACACTGACATATATTTTCATATCTTTCATATCAATTGCCTGTGACTTCACATAACAGAGAGCTGCCCAGCCAGTCCAGTTTGAACTATAATAACTTTGTATCTTAGTTTTAGTTTTGACACTATTCAGGTTGAAAACATATTGAGTTGTCTTAGTGACTGACCAGCTGTAGCTAATGAAAGTGAACACTATGTTGTTTGTTGTGACATCAGTTGTATCTCATGCTGCCAGACAATTATTATTTGAAACATAATTTAAAAAAAACCTGTTGCATAAATTCAGTAAAAAAAACCTCACCTTCGGGAGAGGCCATTCAGAACAGGTAGAAACACCTCTGCCTTTAGATATAGTCAGTCAACATGCAATATAGCCTCAGTGGTTTAAAGCATACAGACCTTACTTTAATCAGTAGGCAACATCTGCCAATCTGTCTGAGAGTGGGAAAAGGTCAAATATCTGTGTCTGCTGTGGAAGTGTGGGAGCTGCAGCCATGGAGGGAAGCCCAGTCTCCTTAAAGTCTTCTGCAGGATTCTGCTTTCTGCATTCAAGATGGTCTATGGGCCGGTGTTGGTCTGGCCACCGACATATCCTGTGAGGTGTAACGCTGGGCTGGAAAATAAATACAAGAAGGGACAGTGTGTGTTTCTCTCAGTGTGTGTGAATCATGTGTGCCTGCATGCATGTGGCTATCTGTGTGTGCGCATGTTTTTCAGTGTCTACATCCTGTTCTGTATGTGTGTGTCATTGTCCAGGGTAGGTGGGGTAGTGTGTCGCGGAGTGTGTGTGTATGTAGGGCTGGGACTGTGCATGAGTGTTTGCCAGGGGCAGCATGTCATGGCGGTCTGGAGGCAGGCGGATCGACAGCAGGTCGTCTTCTGAAGTGTCGGCTGCAGACAGAGCAGACACACTCTGTTACATCAGCACAGAGCAGATACAAGAGCAGTTCCTCCCTGCTTGCAGTCTTTATGCTGAGCTACGCTAACTATGTCCAGACTCCAGCTACGTACTTCAACATACTGATGTCAGAGTTCTCATCCGACTCTCTAAAAGCAATTGAAAAATATTCTTTGAAACACCAAATAGGGGACATTACAGTTGGAATTATTTTATCCTTTTTAAAAAAAAAGAAAAAAAAAAAAAGGTTTTAAACAACTGAAACAAACTTTTTTCATTGTATGTGAAGTTGTGAATCACCTCAATGGTAAGAATCACCCATTAATCTAATATAGAATCTGCTTCAGTTGGATAATTTTTATTCCTATCTATATGGTGGCCCCGAGAGCTCAAAGCTCTGCAACTTAAGAAAACACATACAACAAGACAAAACACAAACAAATACACAAACACACCTGGCTGGGACACAGATGCTGTTTCCAGGGGACACTAAAAAGTGATTAACCTGGCTGGGACATACTTGTTCAATGCTTTTAACCTCAAAAGTCACCAATCAATGAACAAGAGCGTCCAAGGAAACACTTCCGCTGTCGTCTGTGCTACTTGCAGTGTGTTTGGTTGTGTTGTGAATATTTGGAGCTCATGTCAAATTGATGAAGATGTTTTATGAATTTGTTTGTGTTTTGTCATTTGCATGTGTTTTTTAAATTGCAGTATGTTGAGCTCTCAGGGCCACCGTACATTTAAATCTTGACCAGATGAAAATGATGTTTAATTGAAAGTAGTAAAGTAAGTAGTAAAGTAGAAGTAAAGTAAAGTAACACATGAAAGGGTTTAATCTGATGTGGAGTGTACTGGTGTACAGTGTAGGTACAGGTACAATGAAAATGGAATTAGATGTCATGGTCATGTCCTATATCTATGAGATACAATATAAGAAAAAAACTTGTGTTAAAGCTCGTGTGTTTGGCCTACCAGTGCCAGGATCCATGCCGGTCTGGTTTGCAGTGATGTGGTGCCAGTAGGCAGACCGGGGCAGGATGGCAGTGGGCGTGCAGGGGTAGGAGCTGGACTCTGAACCCTTAGACATAAGCTGGGAGTCAGAGACACACATCATTAGGAATTTAAAACAACAGCAACAGTACCACAATTAACAACGTCTACAAAGACTGTCTTCTTAAAGTTGTATTACAGGGAGATTCACAGAGTCAGGGTACAGGATCTGACGCTGCTCATATGGATGAGATATAATTACTCATTACCTACCCAGATCATCACATACATACACTGTTACAATCATGACTGCACTACTGCAGTAGTCAGACTAACATTTATTATTTCTGTTATCACAGAGTCAGACTGTACCACCCAGGAACTAACTCAATGATGCTCATGAACAATTATTTATAACGCTTTTCTAATTTCAAGGATTTTTGCTGTATTTATTATTTTATTATATGTCTTTTTTAAAAACAAAAGCTTTTCACTGTGTTGGAGGGTAATACTTCTAATAGTGGCTAAATGAACTTGTCTCTGCTGCTGGTCCGTGTTGACCACCTCTAACACCACATGATCAATGACCAGTATTCACTCTACTTTAGCTCTGTTTTGGTCTCCATCAGATGCTGAGATTATGTGAGATTATTTTGTGATAAATCCTCCACTATGTTCACTATGTTTGAGAAAAGTGAAAGAGCAGCACTTATCCAAATCCTCATTATCACCACTGGGGTGCCCTTGAGCAAGGCCCTTAACCCCCACCAGCTCCAGCGGAGCTACTCAGTGGCCAGCAGGTCAGACTGTGGTTGTACTGGGCAGCTTCCAGATGTGAATGTGTAACTGTGTGATTATGATCAAGGTGTTCCTGTAAAAGACAGCTTGCCTCTCAGTGAAACTACGCTGAATAAAAAAAGGTTAAAAAATAAATAAATAAAATTCTTCTGTTAGCTGCTCTACAATATCCACAGTGTCATTGTCAAGCTCTGTACAGCTACTTAAAAACATGGTCATTTTATCTGTTATCAATACAAAATTAATGACAAGTGTGGCTTTAGCTTTATTCAGAGATATACACCACCATATAAAATAAAGTAATTCAGGGTTTAAGACTAGAGATTAGATTTTGCAATGACTCAAACTGCCCAAAAACAAGTGACACACAGTTAACAGGGCTTTTGGGGGCCCTGGGGGTCTGCATTGTCTGCATTGGACAATGACAATAATATGAAAGTTAAACCTGAGATAAGCCAGACTCTCACCCTGCTATTTTTCTCCATCTCCAGCAAGACCTTCTTGTGCTGCTCAGCGATGGCCAGTGTGGAGGAGTGAACCCTCTGGTAAATCTGTTCTCCTTCTCTGGTCTGGAAGGTGTAGAGGCCTTCACCACTGTCACACATCCTGCACACAACAGGGAGTCAGTATGAAGCTGCAGCACAGAACAGCATGGGCCGACACACGAGCCAGGACAATAGTCTGGAGACCTGCCTCGACTGTGCCTGGATTTATTTCTCTAGGGGGAGGAGGTGATTTTTACATCACCTGGGCTGGTCAGTGATTTTAATCCTATGTAGAACATGTGTGTGAGTCAGTTTCACCCCTACACCAGTAACAATTACAGCCACAATAAAGCTTTTGTGAACTGGCTGGTCCTACTGATTTTTTCTTTTTTTTTGTTTTGCATTTTATTTTGGTATATAACAGGAACATCACCATTGTAAAGTGGAGCCATGGATGCACAGACAACTAATTTGTAAGTGGATTTATTCTGGAGGTAAATCAGTTTCATGTCTGAGTCTGTAAGCTTAGCCCATTCACTAGTAAACTAACAGATTCTGTTTTTTAATCTATCTCACTCTTAGCAACGTCAAGAATGTCACACGGTTGCCTCGGGATACCAAGCGACAGGCTGTGGCCATTGTGTTTACAGATGATACCTCACGCACCTTCACCTGTGAATCAGGACACACACACACACACACCACCACCACCACGAGGAACATGTCACAATGGCTCAAGTATGTGAATTATTGGACTAGCAAAAAGACTTCTACAGAACTTTGCTTGAACAACAGTAAAAAAGCTTCAAAACTTGTGTACAGATCATAGTTGATTCTTCAAATAGGAGGATTGATGATCTATCAAAGCAAGTCTATGATTTTAAGGTGAGTTTAGAAATGACTTGAAAGGATTTTGATGATTTAAAAAAAAAAAAAAAAAAAAAAAAAAAAAAACACATTGTAGTGAAACCAGGACTGATTTGGACACAATCTGCAAAAGTTTGATCTCAAACTCAGACAAGACAGAATATCTGGAGGGCCAGTCAAGGCAACATAATATTGTTGTCGATGGCATTAAAGAGTCTGAGAAAGAGAAGGTGTCTGAATCTGAAGAAAAAGTGAGAAAACTCTTCAGTGACAAACACATCTGGATCATCTGAAAATAAAGGTGGATTGGGTTCATAGGACTGGGAAGTCAGTGTCCATCTTCAGAAATCTTCTAGGGGCCAATGGACAGCATCTTCTGATGCTCAGGGGCAAAACAGGGCAACTCAGGGGGATGGCTCGGAGGCCTTATGGACAGGCTGGGCAGTTCAGTGGGGCGACCCGGAGGTCGGGCAAACGGACGGAGCCGTTCTGGAGGCCGACAGCAAAGACCGGGTCTCTCAGGAGGTCGAGCCAGAGGATGGCGTCGCCCCTCTGGAGGGTGAGCAGGAGGACGGTGGCGAACACGGGGTCCCTCCGGAGGATGGCGTCGCCCCTCTGGAGGGTGACCAGGAGCTGACTGGGTACCAGGGGCAGGAGTCAGCTGGGCTGCCGACAGAACACGAAGAGCAGGTATCAGCCGGACCACTGACTGGGAACCAGAATCAGGAGTCAGCTGGACCGCCGACAGGACAGGACTCGGCCGGACCGCCGACAGGAAACGAGGAGCAGGGATCGGCCGGACCACTGACTGGGAACCAGAATCAGGAGTCAGCTGGACCGCCGACAGGACAGGAGGGACAGGATTCGGCCGGACCGCCGACAGGAAACGCGGAGCAGGGATCGGCCGGACTGCCGACAGGAAACGAGGAGCAGGGATCGGCTGGACCGCCAACTGGGAACCAGAATCAGGAGTCAGCTGGACCGCCGACAGAACCGGAGGAGCAGAATTCGGCCGGACCGCCGAATGGGAATCTGGTGTCGGCCAGGCCACTGACTGGGAACCAGAGTCAGGAGTCTGCTGGACCGCCGACAGGGAACCAGGACCGGGTGTCGGTCGGACCACTGACTGGGAACCAGAATCAGGAGTCAGCTGGGCCGCCGACAGGACACGAGGAACAGGATTCGGCTGGACCGCCGATAGGAAACAAGGAGCAGGAGTCGGCCGGACCACTGACTGGGAACCAGAATCAGGAGTCAGCTGGGCCGCCAACAGGAGACGAGGAACAGGGATCGGCCGGACCACTGACTGGGAACCAGAATCAGGAGTCAACTGGGCCGCCGACAGGACACGAGGAACTGGATTCGGCTGGAAGCTGGGGACCTTGGACTGTGGCTTGGGCCAGAAGTGAGGAACCTGGGGCTGGGGCAGAGGCCGGGCGACGGGAACCATGATTACCTCGCCTTCTGTGGCCTCCACGAAACCCTGTGAAAATAGTCCCCTTTCATGGGAACTCGTCAGGGTCGTCCAGGTCCGAGTCAGAGAGGGGGTCAGCCAGCGTGCAAAGGGGCATGCAGACCGACGAAGGTGCTTGCTGAGAGGATGGAGGCACCCTTAAGAAAGCCATGAGGCTGGCATAGACCGCCGGGTCCATTTCTAAGTCGGTTTGTACTGTCACAACTGTCAGGGTAGTCAGGGTTAGGGGGGGTAAAGCTGGACCCAAATGCAGCCAACACATGGGAGACGGTGCAGACAGGTTTATTAAACTAACACAAGCACAGGGAACCACAGGGACAACAGGTAACATGAACAGGTGACATGAACAGAACGAAGACAAACCAGACTTGAACAGCTTGAGGGGAAACCATGGATAAACAGATTGAGGAAAATCCAGAAATCAACAGGCATGAACAGGCTAAGGATAAACCCCGAGACAACAAAGACAACAGAGAGACAACAGAGACAAACTGACCCAGACAAAGGGGAGCACAAAGACTATATAGACAAAGGAGGCAAGGGTGATTGCACGCAGGTGAAACACATTAGGGCGGGGCAGACAATCATCACACAGAAACAGGACCAAGACAGGAAGCAAAAACACTGACACACAAGGAAACCAATTACAAAATAAAACAGGAAGTGCGAAAGGTCCAAACAAAAACTAACAAAAGGTGTCTGCCATAGCAAACCATGACAAAGAAAGAAAGAACTACTCCCAGCAATGAAGGCAGCTCGAGAGAGAGGAGACATTGCATATTTAAGATATGAAAAACTTACTGTCCATCCACCAACCCAAAATCCACCACAACAAAGAAAGGCCAACACTCAGAGTTTGGCTCATTAGTCTCCACCATTAGGCTTTTATACAGTACTTTGATTACCTATCTGACCACTCATCTATTGCACATTATTCTTTACTCACATTATGGGCTACAATAAATCTGATTTTCAATGCCAGCTTTTTAAACCTTTCAATTATTCTTCAGTTGACTCATACAATTTTGATGTTGACCCAAACTTAAATCTTTTTTCATCACTTGACGCCTCAAACTTCTGTAGCTTTTATAATGAAACACAATTCAATAACTTATGTGTTTCTATGCCTCCTAATGTATTCTCTACTTTTCATCTGACTATAAGGAGTCTTTCCAGAAATTATGATAAAGTCATTAATTTTTTATCTTCACTTAAGCATGACTTTTCTGTTCTTGCTTTATCATAAACATGGCTTACAGAAAACTCCAGAGAAATCTTTGAATTAACCAAATGCAAATCACTTCACTATGTAAGAGAGAATAGATCTTGAGGTGGAGTATCCTTGTTTATACATTGTGACTATGAATTTAAAATTAGGGAAGATCTCTCTCTGAAATCAAATGGGGCGGAAGTGGAATCGATTTTTTTAGAGCCTTCCGGTGTCTCTGGTGGAAAGCATGTTATTGTTGGTGTTATTCATTGCCCACCTGACTTTAGTATCAAAGATTTTATTCTAAGTTTTTCCAGTTCTCTTGACCAATGAGGATAAAGCCTGAGATATTTTGGGTGATTTCAATATAAACCTCTTTTAAAAAATTATTAGATACCCTTACTGGCGATTTTCTAAATATTCTTTATTCTAATTACTTTTTCCCTCTTATCCACAAATCTACAAGAGTTACAGAAAATCCATCAACTTTGATTGACAACATATTAACTCACTCTTTGAGTGAAGGAATGAAATCTGGGGTCTTATGTTCAGACTTGTCAGATCATTTCCCCATATTTCAGTACTCTTTAATCAAGGATAACAGAGCTAAACATACAGATAAAATAATGCATTAAAGAATTATGAGTCTTTTTATATAATTATAAGTCAAATATTTCTAAATTTAAAGATATCTTTGCCAGTATTTCATGGGATCATCAAAATAATACTGATTTTGCATATTAACATTTTATGAAAGTCATTGGTTTTACTTTTAATGACTGTTTTCCAGTTGGCAGTTCTACCAAGAAATACAGTCAAGACTTAAATAAACCTTGGTTTACGGTTGATTTGCAGAAGCTGTTGAGGAAAAAGAATAAACTGTATAGAAAATATGTCTCAAATCCTACTTCTCTTACCCATAGTGTTTATTAATCTTATAGAAATAAATATACTCATTCCATTAGATCTGCAAAAAAGAAATATTTCAGTGAAAGAGGTGTTCAAAAGATATAAAAACTATGTGGAAAGTAATCAGTTGTTGCAAAGAGAAAAGACTACCTTGAGTCTTCTTGGATGGTGAAAATTCTCTCAACAATCCATATGTAGCTCAAAGGTTTTTTGAATTCTTTGTTAATATTTGTTATGAATTAGCTAATAAAATTCCTGCTTGACATAGTAATGGATTTTATTCCAAGAAATTTTCCTGTTATTTCTTCCTTTTAGTCCACTGATATCAAAGAAATAAGTGACATAACTGATAAACTAAAAATATATTCAGCCGGTCATGACAATATTTCTGCATTCCTTGTCAAACAGGTGAAACAGTCAGTATTGCAACCACTTGCTTTCATCTCTCCTCGAAAACAGGTGTTGTGCCAGTGGATTTAAAAATTGTTAAAGTTATTCCAATATTTAAAGGAGATGATCCATGTTGTTTTTATAATTATAGACCCATATCTATTTTTCCATGTTTTTCAAAAATATTAGAAAAAATTATATACAGAAGGACTCTTTCATCCTTATTCTAATTCAATTCTTTATAAACATCAGTATGGTTTCAGGAAAAAATCACTCCACCACTGGCTCTGCTTCACCTAATTTATAAGGTTACATCTGCACTTGAAAATAATGAATTTACTTGTAGTATTTTCATAGACCTTTCAAAAGTTTTTGATACAGTTAACCATCATATTTTATTGGAAAAGCTGTATAAATATGGTTTTCATGATGCTACATATAAATGGTTAAAGAATTATGTCTCCAACAGAAGACAGTTTGTTTGTGTTAAGGGTTGCTATTCCAACAAAGCCAGACTACTCTGTGGGGTTACTCAGGGGTCTATTCCTGGACCATAACTATTCTTAATGTATATTAATGATTTGTCTAATGTCTCAAATATCCTTTCACCAATAATGTTTACAGATGACACAACTCTAGTCCTCTCTCATTCAAATTTTAATTCATTGATTAAGGATGCAAATGTTGGTTTAACTACCTATGTTACATGGTTCAGATAAAATACATTATCTTTAAATACAAAAAAATCATACTCTAAGGATTTATGTAAAATTACAATGGTGTCAGTTGAGAATGCCTCAAGTGTCAAATGCAAGATTCCTGGGAATTTTTGTTGATGAGACTTTGAGTTGGAGAGAACAAACTAACTGGGTTAGAAGAAAAATAAATAAATCTATTGGTATAATAAGGAGAGTTAGCCATTTTGTGACCACTCTCCTTACTCTTTATTATAGTCTAATTTATCCCTATCGTTCACATTATAATATAGTTTAGGCAAATACTTACTACTCTAAACAAATTATTGGTCCTCCAGAAACATTTTGTTAGGATTGCAACCCAATCAGAATCACACATCTCATCTGCTCCTTTATTTCAGAAACTACAGATTCTTACTATTTATGATATCAACATTTTTCAAATGTGTGTTTTTATTTATAAGATATATTCAATCAGAGGGAATATTCCTGAGCATTTCAAAACATACTTTAAGGTAAACTCACATGCCCATTCTTAGTCAACTCGTCTTATGACGAATCTTGTGATTTTCTTCTTCCCTAATTTCTCACTTATTACTCGTTATTAATGTCATTATTGCTATTAATTTTATATATAATCTATCATTTTCTAGTTATTTTTATGTACTCGCGTTATTTTCTGGCATGTTTATTTTCTATCCTTATAATGTTGTAATATTTTAACATACTTAGGTAGAGGCTTTAAATAAGCCCATCGAGGTTTTTGCCTGTCCCTGCACTGTATGCTATTTGTTTTCTTTGTCATTTTCTATGTATTTTAAATTGTGCAAAATAAATAAATAAATAAATAAATAAATAAATAAATAAATAAATAAATAAATAAATAAGTAAATTATCTGCATGCTGACTCAATCATAGGCGGTCTGGTTTTATCAAAGAGGAGATGGAGGTCTGTCCCAGCACTGATTCATCATCTAATCTATTCAATCAATCTCTTCATGGGGCTCAGACCAACACACCAACCTGTGTGTGGTGTGTGTGTGGTGTGTGGTATGTGGTGTGGTGTGTGCGTGTGTGTGTGTGTGTGTGTGAGAGAGAAGTATCCTTGGACTGACCGTACGCTCATTGTGGTGTCTCTAACTTTGTATGTGTGTGTGTGTGTGTGTGTGTGTGTGTGTGTGTGTGTGTGATGTTTGGAACCTGTGTTTATCTTGGGACAGTCAGTGAGCAAACATCTCCCCCTTTCCTTTCCCAACCACCCAAATCCTGGTCTTACCGTCCAGCCTCAAAGGTGAAGCGGGTGGCATCACGTCCGTAGCGCCGCAGGGAGCAAAGCGGCCAGGTGACCAGCTTTGTGCGAGGGTTGTGAATGTCCCACAGGTAAATGTTCTCGTGGGTGATCTGCATCATGCACTCGCCGTAGATGTCTAGGTTGGGACAGGGGAGGAGGAACACGCTGAAGCGCTCTGAAGAGATGAGGAATGACAGGAACAGTGTCAGCGATGTATTTTCACTTGCACAGGTCTGCTTTGTTGAGCTGAGTTTTATTGCTCATTGTCATTTTTATCAGTTTTTCTGAGAAGATGAAGCATGTTGCTTTCCATCTTCTAAGCTAAAAGAGTACCAAACACTAAAATTGTTTTTAAAGCCACCCTAATTAATATTTTTATCATCCGATTTTGTTGTTCCCCTCAGCTCTACAGAGTTTGTTGTCTTGGTTTAACAACTTCACTATTCTAGTGCAATCTCAGTGTTTCCATGCAGCAGCAGTTTCCAGCTAAAAAGACAGACAAATCCACTGTACACTGCCCAACACAACATGACAGTCAATGTTAGTCACCAGCTGGTGAGCATAGTGGATCATTTAGTGTGAGTGAGGGAAAGTGAATTTTGAACTTAGATTCAACAGGTGGGCACAAGCACAACTTGCTCTGTATGGTTATGTAGATCAAGTTTGTCAATAACACAACAAATTTACAATATGTCAGATCTTCTGTTTACAGTCTGTTACATTGCCTCCTATTGAAGTCAAATCTCAAGTCCAAGTCTTTATAAACAAATTGCAATCATTTGGAAATCTGTCAGGTCTCTGAATACTGATAATTAAAAATGGTAATTGAGAATGTTGGTATTAAAGTTAGTTAGTAAAGTTTCAAAGTGTCACACCGTGGTGAGGTTGTCTTGTCCTGGGTTTGTTTTGTCCTGTCATTTCCTGTTTTATTTTGAAAAGTAATTCTCCTCTCGTTGCAGGTCACTTGCTCTTCCTCATGTGTCTCAGTCTGATTGTCCTAAGTGTTTCCACCTGTCCCCCTAGTTCCCTCCATGTGTTTAAATAGTCTGTGTTCCCCTTGTCTTGTGCCAGAGTGTCTTCGTCTTCGACCTGCACCCGAGCCTTTGTCCATGTCCACAGCCATAGTAATCGCCAAAGTAAGCCTCGAGAAGAGTGATTTTTTTGTTTGTAAATTTTTCCATTGTTAAAGTTCATAGCCCTTTGTTTTTCCTCGTTGAGAGTGATTTTTTGTTTGTAAATTCTTGCCATAGTTTCGGTTCATAGCCCTTTTGTTTTTCCTCTTTAAGAGTGAATTTTTGTTTGTATTTCTTCCCTTAGCCTAGTTATTAATAATTCTAGATCCTCCGCTTAGGAGCGTGAGTAGATTATTTTGGTTTATTTTTATGTAGTCAGGTTTTTCCTCCTCCTGGAGTGTTTTTCGTTCCTCAGGATTCAGAGTTAGTGTCTAGTCTTTGTCATAGCCATTTTGTTTGTCACTCTGTCTGAGGTCTCCGGTGATATCAATAAAAGCCTATTGTTTTCTAAATCTCTGCATCTGAGTCCTGCTTCGAGTCTCGGCCTGACACAAAGTCTTAATTATATTGTTTACTTTAGGATTTTAATAAATTCAAACTTAAAAGTTTATTTTTTGCTTTGTGTCTTTGGGAAGTCAAGTCTCAGGTAGTCTGCTGGCTCTGTACTACTGTACTCCATGCTCAACCTTTTTTTGTGTTATAAGACAGATATAGTATCACTGTCTTTCCCGTTCGTTCATTAAATACATAAACACTGAGTAATGTTAGAACTTAGTTCTCTATGAGCAGTTTGGTTTGTCTACATGCTGTACATGCTAATGTTGCTAACATTGGTCAGTGGTGTTTTATTATAAAAGAGCCCACTGAGAACACCAGCTTGCTGCTGTTACTAATTTATTGTTATTAGCTACATCATTGTGTCATAAACAGGTTTCATCAGTCCAGGTGTCTTTGATGAAGGTAATTCTATAGCCTAAAGATGGAAGTAATCTTTTTTTGCATTACTATTCTGACATCCAATGACAAAGACATTTTTTCCTTATTCCTTATCTTGTCTATTTCCCTCCACTTGTTTCTGTTGTTTTTCTGCCACCAGTCTTGGTCTCCAGTAACATTTGAAAAACTTATTTTAACAGTGATAAAAGATTTCAAATAAAGCAGCCATGAGACTTTGACAGAACTTATGTGGCTCATGGGACACGCTGTTGAATGCTAATACAATAATTGTTAGTTTATTCTTTGTTTAAAAAATTTGGTGTTCAGGATTTACTGTTTATTGCAGCAGTACATTTAGCTTAGAATATGAACATAAAACCACACAAACCTGTTTCATCTTTTAGAAAGGAACCCTCTGATGTATATACAACATAGAATTTATACAATTATATGTAAAATTATATTTATAAATTATATGTAAAATTATATTTATAAAAACTGTAGTCCTTGTCACTACTTTCTCCATTTTACCAACAGAGGATGTAGAGAGACAGATCTCCTCTCTGTGGTTTGTTTCAAGCTTTAGGAGAAGCAACAAGGACATGATCCCTCACTTGCTTCCCACCCACCAACAAAACAATCAATTTTGATAATCTGAGCTGGAAGATAAACACTAAACCAAAGATTGCTGTGGTGGCAGACTAGGCCTAGACAAGCCACTGACATGGAAACTTTTATTCTGAAAATTTGATTTGGAACTACCTGTGTGTTCACACTGGACCCCGGCAGCCAGCAAGTCAGGCTCTCCCATACTGATGTCATTGAGCCGCATGCCCAGACACTCAATAGACAGTGTCTTGAACCAGTCTTCAGCCTCCAGCTCTGTAGAGCGAGAGATAGGAAGGGAGGTCACGTCACACCTGACTTCCTGACCTTTTATGTGAAATTGCACAGCTGTGTGAAGACTTATGCAGATTTTACATTTTCAGCTAACAGTATTTTTTTGCACCAAGTCTATATTAGTTATATGATTATATGATTAGTACTGACACTATTGAAGTTAGAATGAAGTAACTTATGTAACTAATGTAAGCTAATTACAAACCACCATTTGCCACGGCTAGGTAAACAATGGCTGACAGGGGTGTGGATGGTTCTAACACCTTCAACTAAACACATTTTCTCCATCCTACCCATTTTTCCAGTATGCTAAGACAGTGGCTGAGAAAAAATTACATCTGAAAGTTATAGTATCAAAAACAGCTCATTGTTGTCGGTTATAGTCATTCTTAAAGTGCTTTAAAAGTCAATGGTGAGTTCTTTTTGTTCTTGGTGAACCACAGGTTGATGGTGAAGTGTTACTTAGACTTACTTAGATGCATAATTTGTGGTGTGGTCTGAATTTGTAATTCTTCACTCTTAGTGTTACAACTCATCCCAGTGGTGGGGCAGGTTGTAACAATGGAATGCCTTGTATTTAACATCACTTAATGAATTCTGTGATATAGTTGAAGAAGTTGGAAACATTGATGTGTAGTGGACAAATAAGGAGACTTTGTGTGAAAATTTGAAGCTCCATCACAAACATTCTGTGAATTATAGGTGCTGAGACAAAACAACCATTATCGGTCTACACTATCTGACAACCTGAACTACAGCTGCAGACACTGCACAGAAACTGTATGCAAAGGATAAACTAAGAGGTAACATCCACTAAAATCACAAACATTTCTGGTTATGGACAGATTACACAAACAAGAGTCCTGACATGTCTTGACTGCAGCTGTGTACTGAAGCCCGGTCAATTATTGGTCAATATCATTGCAAATATATTGGTATCTGCATATTTCACACAACTCTGTGAGTCTGTGTGTGTGTGTGTGTGTGTGTGTGTGTGTGTGTGTGTGTGTGTGTGTGTGTGCGGGGGCAAGCGTGCATGTGCGTCCACACATTACCTGATTCACAGGTGAAGGTGCGTGAGGTATCATCTGTAAACACAATGGCCACAGCCTGTCGCTTGGTATCCCGAGGCAACCGTGTGACATTCTTGACGTTGCTAATTTCTGTCACCTAGGTTGAGGGTAAAACAGTTAACACAGTGGAAGTCAGGGCTTATTCACCTACAGTACTTGGTGTTGTCTGATTAAAGTGATGGTGACTCAGTAAAATAGGTTTTCTGTTGTATGTTTAAGATGAACAGAGGCAGTTCAGATTTGCTGCTTCACTTCAGAAACTTACATTTTACTGCTGAAAGTTCCAAGCCATTACAGTCGTCATCATGCAAATCACAGAGTTTTGTGAAACTGTGACAAGTTACTACTCTGCATCAACTCCTGTGGTAAAAGTATCAATGGTTCAAAAAAGACTTAAAAGAATATTTGTCTGAGAAGGTTCAGCCAGTTCACTGGTCCGTATGGACTAACACTGTTTTGTTCAAGTAAAACCTTTTATGAATCTTCTTATCTTGTTTAAGGCTCTATCATTGTGTTGTGTGTCCTGTGAAACTTCGGAAACAAAGATAAAACCAGAATACACATTCTGTGTGTGAATAAAAAGAGTAAGAGGGATTGTTGATTCTCAGTGAGCTAAGAAGTACAAGAATCAGAATAAGCTATAATCCCTGTCAATGTGTGTCTTTCAACTCTTTATGTTTCCTCCTGCCTGTATACCTGTGACACACACATACACACACACACACACACACACACACACACACACACACACACCTTAGGACAGGTTCTGATGTAGGCAGACTTCTCATCAGGGTATTTCTCCAGACGACGAGGTCCTTTACTGGACGACTTCTTAAACACCAGCCAGCAACGTCGATAGATCTATAACATGCGCACGCATGCACGCACGCACGCACGCACATACGTACACACACACACACACACACACATAGAAGAATAGATAGAAGAAGTCATTTAATATTCAATACTACATTTATTTCATTCAGAAAAAGTGAGTTTCCTTTCCAATAATCTTAACAAGCGGAGTGAGTGTAGTGAGGCACCTGTTTTGCCCCAGGTCTTGCCTTTAAGGCTACATACAGGCTGGCCTTGTACCTTGTACTTGCTGAAAGTTGTTGGGGAAGTATAGAGCCTGAGAAGAACCTGCACACACAGGTTATGGCTGAAAAAAATGTTTTTACAAACTACACTTTTTGAGAAAAAAAGTATTTTTTCTATACTTTAATTTACAGCTAATGTTGTCCTTATTAAGATAGTAGTTTTCTTTGTCATGAAGATGAAAATCCAACAAATATCCATCAGAAAGTCAGAGGTCTACAAAGGAAATTAAAAATGAGTGCAGCAGTAATGTCACTGATCATTCTTATCTGGACAGGACGACTACAGTGAGGACTGTAGGCTTGTTTTCAACTGGTCTGATCATCTCACTACTTCTGCTTGTTTTGGGAAACAAAAGTTGTGTGGTTGCCCATAAATCTGTGCATCGATGTGATGCACAGATGCAAACAAACAAAACAAGTAAATGGACAAACATCTTCACTAGGATTTAGAAAAGAAAATGCTGCAAAGTGAGAAAAAACAGAAACTGTGCAGGTTCCACAAAACACAAGAGAGTTTCCAGGAAACACTGAACAATGATGACACCCTCATTTCTGTTGTATCCAACTTAGTGTGTTTCTGTATGTGGTTGTGTTGTTTCCTGCAGGGTTAGGGTTAGGGTTCCTTTGTCAAATCAGTGTTTTCTTAAAGAGGATCTGTTATGGCCATTTTCAGTGTTAATCATTTCATTCTTGGTGTCTACTAAAATCTACTAAAAAAGACTTTATTTTTCTTCTTCTGTATATCTTTCACTGTCCTCTATTCACCCTCTGTCTGAAACGCTCTGTCCCCGCTGAAGCTGACAATTCAGAGCCCAGCATGCTCTGATTGGTTTGCCGGCAACTACTATGGCAACGATACGTTCTGCATGTCTTGTGTAAACAAACGGTTGTGGCGGCTTCGGTCCTGTTTATAGTTTTGAGCAAGGGTCCGATTCTGAACCAGAAGATGACAAACCTGATTCACCTTCACAAGCTGGACTGGAGCAGAAACAAGCATACCCACTGTCCCGCAGCAGGAAGTAGGTAGAAATATGAAGAGGCTGTGATAAACAAGACTTCGGATGGAATACTTTTATGAGAAACTGTTGATTTTTTAAGTGTGGACACTTCCAGACTAAAGGAATATAAATAATGGAGGAGCAAGACAGACGGTCGACAGGTAGATAGATAGATAGATAGATAGATAGATAGATACTTTATTTATCCCCTAGGGGCAATTTATGTGTCCATTAGCTCATTGTTGATAATAATAATAATAATACTAATACTAATACTAATACTACTAATAATAATAATAACAGTTGATAATAAATAAACAATAATAATTAGAATAGTCCACTTTCTTTGGCTGAGGTGTTGTATAGCCTGATGGCAGTGGGAACAAAGGATCTCCTGAACCTTCTGCAGCACAGTGAGATGACATGTTTGCTGCACCTGTAGCTGCTTCTCTGTCCTGCCAGAATGTTGTGGAGAGGGTGGTTGGTATTGTCAAAGATGGCCTCCATCTTACATTGCATGCGTCTCTCCACAACAGTCCTGGTAGGGAGTCTCCACCGCTTCAAATCCTGTTGATTTACGATGCCAGTAAATCTGCATAAATTAAACTTTAGTGTGCATAGTTACTGAAAAACAAACTCAGTAGTTAAACTTTGGATAATTTATCTGCGCCAACGAGGTACAGAATGTCAATACTGACAAATATTTAAGCATTTATATCTTTCACTTTGCTGCTTATTACTAACGTGATCAAGTCACGGTAACATGGTTAACATCACAAATCCACAATAATAATGCAGACTGACAGGCTGTGATCCTGAGAGTGAAGTGTGAATTACAGAAAAAATTGTTGTGAAAATGAAGTGTCTAACTGTGCACGGTTTCTGAAGCAGTCCTCCTTGATGTGCAGGCTCACATTATAATGTTTGGAGCAGTGGAGAACCATGGAAAAATAAAGCAGATTTCTGCAGGCAGTTGAGAACATGGTGTCTTTATGGCTACAAAACTAAAAAAAACTCTTAATTCTAAGTAGTTATGTGGGGGCATTCCAAGCTTGCAGGGGGTGTCTAAGTTGCAGGTAGGCAGCACCAAAAGAGGTATTGACGTCAATAGGACCAGGAAGTAATGGCTGGACTCCCAACGAAGCATTTCATACAAAGGAGAAAATTGGGTTTTTACCCTGACAGTTACTCCCTTTGGTGTAAACTGAGATCCTTGTGACTCTGGAGACCATTTACATGCACAAAAACCTATATAACACAATATAAGAAAGAAAAAACTCAGAATAGCATATTAGGTCCCCTTTAATTTTATTACTCTATTTGCAGTGTTTTCTAAGCTGCAGTATGTAGACCTCTCAGAATTTAACTCCAAAAATTTCACTTGAAGTCACCAAATTGGCCTTTTGTAGACAGAAGAGAATGTTCATGTTCACAAGTTCATGCCTGACACATTTTCAGGTTTTGCTGTTGCTTTGTGTGATCTAGAGATTCAGCATCTCACCAGCTTTTCACTTGTGATGAGCGGCTCCCAGCAAAAATAGACAGGGAAACATTTGTTGATAGTCTTACTGATATGATACCAGCAACATTATATGTAACTGACACTTTTCACTATTCTATAGTTTCCATGTCTGGACTTGATATGAATATGACACAGACATGAAAGAATATATAACTTGTATTTTTAACTGTTTTATCAACTGCATGGAGAGACAGAGGAGGCGGCATGTACTAGGGAAGGACCTCAGGGCAGCCAGAGCTGCAGCTCGGTCCTCGGTTCTGATCTTGTTAGACCACAACCACCAATCCTATCAAACGTCCTTATCCTATCACCTCCTCACAGGAGTCCCCTGAAGGATTGGTACTAGGACCTCTTCTCTTTGTAATATAGCCCACCTCCTTGGGTCCAGTTATCTGCTCACATGTCTTCTCATATCACCACTATGCAGACGACACCCAGATATACCTGTCATTATACTTCTCATTTTCACCAGACGACCCCACTGTCTCTGAGCAGATCTCGGCCCCTTTCTCCAACATATCCACATGGATGAAGGAATGCCACCTTCAACTAAACCTCACTAAGACTGAACTAGTCATTTCGGCCAAGCCTTCTGCTTCAGTAGGTTTGTTCAGTTGCTTTCAGTTTTAAGTTTTATGTGAAGGTGTGATGAAGAGCGACAGTCAGACTTTGGACACCACATGTTCTCTGGCTCATGCTGAGATGAAATGAAGTAATCATTTTTACTTTGTACTGTGACTACCTGACCAATATAAATGTAGAAGGAAACTGGCTGATGAGTCACCTCTATCACCTCTTATCATGTCTTTAACTCTTTTTGTTCATGTTCAAACAACCTTCTAATTCTACATCTAGTGCATCAATATGTATGTGTGTATGCATATATTCACATGTGTATATGTAAGTATATTCATTTATATATCTATCCATGCGCATATATAAAATATAAACGCAATTTTAGATAAGTCTGGAAGTATGTTTTTACTGCCATGGTGGTGCATGTAAACTAATGTATCTCCATCTTTTATAGGTATGTGCGCATTTATTCATTTGTTTATTTATTTATTTATATTGTGGAAAAATAAGAGGAATCAGCAGGTGTAGGAGGGGATAGGCCTGGAGAGCTTATGGGAGAGCTTATGTGGATGTATGAGTGCAGCTGTGCTGTTGTGCTTCATGAATTGTATTTTGTGTTAAGGACTCCCTTGAAAACCAGATGGCCTGCCTGCTTGCCTACAAGATTTACTTAATCACTTAAAGCCACTTCACTTCACCAGCTTGTCTATCTGTTTACCCACCTGTCTACCAGCCTGTCTGTGAGTACTCTCTAACAGCTCAGTAGCTGTTGTCAGAAACTGAGCCAAGTGGGCCATTTTAGTTGACTATGTCTGCTGCCAGTGTAACACTTCACAGTTACACTAACACCATGCCTGCGTGTTCTCACACTTTGATGTGAGCAAACCCCTCTGGAGTTACACAAACCCCAAATTGTTTCACATCAGTTTCATCTCTGAAGATTCGAGGGGAGCAATTAGCACTTCTCCATCATCCTCCTCTCTCCCACCTGCTCCTGTGTCTCCTCTCTTTAACTTTACTTAGTGCTCGTCACAGCTTGCTCACCTGCTGAGACCTGATGACTTCAACACAGGATGGTGAAGATATACAGGGTCAAGAAAGATGAGGAGGGAGACAGTCGATGGCAACACACATTCATAATTTATCCTGTTTAATACAGCAACACCAGTCGAACATAAATGAAGGACACTGGCTGATGAGTCACCTCTATCACCTCTTATCATGTCTTTATCTCTTTTTGTTCATCTTCAAACAACCTGCTCCTGCTTCTAACTCTACATCTAGTGCATCAATATGTATGTGAGTATGCATATATTTACGTGTGTATATGTAAGTATATTCATTTATGTATGTATATATGTATACGCATTTATAAAATATGAACCCAATTATAAATAAGCCTGGAAATATTTTTTTTACTGTAATGATGGTGCATGTAAAATAATGCAAATGTATGTCCATCTTTTACGAGTATGCGTACATTTGTTCATTTATTTATTTTTATTCTGGAAAAATATGAGGAATCAGCAGGTATGGCAGGGGTTAGGCATGGGAGAGCTCATGTCTGTGTATGTATTGTATTTTGTGTTAAATGAAATGTATATATATTTACCTACTGTACATATGTTAGCTGCAGCTAGCTAGTGTGGTATGCACGAACAGTAT